GGGGCCAGACCAGGATACGCCTAGCTCTGCGCGTACGACCCGGCAGGCGCCCAGACGAGTCCGCCGCGAACGCCCTGCTCACCTGGCCTGTGGCCTCACACGCGAGCCGCAGAGGCTGCGCGGCGAGCGCCTGGGCATCCCGGCGTGCAGAAACACACGCGCGGCGAACCCCCTTGGCTGAGGGGCAACGTTAGGCGGGGGCGGTCGCAACTCGCCCTGCTCCGAAAACGAAAATCACGGCGGCGGGTGTCTGGCCGTTTCAGGCCTCGGGGGGCGTTTCTGGGGGTCCCTGGGCCGTGAGAGAACGACGCGGTCCACGGGGATGGGTTCAGATCTCTGGGGGGACCACGGTGTGAACAACAATCACAACTTCGAGGCCGACTCTGCGCTGCCTTCGTCTCAGCTCGCCCTGCATCCACTGGCTCCGTGAGGGGAGCATCGAGACGGAATCGGCGACAAACCGCCGATAGATCGGCGGTAGGCCCCCGATAGCGGAGCCGCATGTTCCTGGGCAGGGTTAGCTATCGGGCCCCCGGGCCCCTGTCGGCGACGAATGAGCGATTGGGTGTCGATGCATCCCCCCCCTGAGCCAATCCCCCAAACGTGGACTGGTCAAGGTGTTCAGGTCATAACTCGGCTCTCCGGCGGCCGTCCAGGACGATCTGGGCACCCCCAGAACGCCCTCGGCGAGGCGCAGCTACCGGAAGGCATGCCGAGGCTGGAAAACCTGCAGGAACCCACGAAAACGCCCTAGAACCTCGAACCTATAACCTCCAAACTTCGTTCCCCGAAGAATAGCGTGCGAACAGACTCCGCCCCCTATCGTTGCCCCCGAGGGATCCTCCCCCTCCTGGGGGGCAACGATAAGGGGGAACTGGCATAGGGGGGGACACATCGACCTGGAATCGGCGATACGTTGCCGATGGATCGGCCATGGGCCCCCGATAGTGCATCCGCACCTTCCTGGGCGGGGTGGGGCCATCAGACCCCTCTCGGCGATCAATTGGCGATTGGTTGTCGGTGCGTCCCCCCCCCCTAAGCCCATCTGATGCGCCCGTTTTTCACAACCACCACCGTAAGCTGGAGGGGGGAAGGAGGAGGAGAGAGGAAGAGGAGGAGGAGGAGGAGGAGGAGGAGGTGGAGGAGGAGGTAGAGGAGGAAGAGGGGGAGGACCCCCTCCCCCTCCAACTTATGGTGGTGGTGGTGTAAAACAAGCCTATCACCATCACCCCCTATCGTTGCCCCTGACCTCCGCCTTCCGAAGCCCTGCACCCACCCACCCCAACCCGGGGCCTGGCGGCCGGCACCGCGCCGCCATGCACAGGGTGGCCAGCAGCTCCGGCCGCGCGACGAGCCGCCGCGGCCGCCGCTCGGGCGCCGCGGCGGCCGGCGCCTGCGGGCCGCTTGCCGTCGCTCGGACGTCCGTTCCCCGTGCATGTTCCGGCTTCGTGCACGTCTTGTTCCTTGCTCGAGGATCCAGGAGGCTACTCTCGATGGTCCTCGCAGAAGAAAATATATGCACACGTCCGAGCGATGCCAGGGCGGCGGCACGAGCGGCGAACGTGCGAGAGAGCGCGCCACGGGAGGCAGCGCTAGGGGGGGGAGCCTTGACTAACCCCCCCCCTTCCTTTTTCGCGCTCCGGAAGCTATTCCCCCCCTCCCTTTGGCACCCCTGCCCGAAGCCCCCCCCTCTTCTTGCTCCTGCGACCCCTGCAAGCTACCTCCCTCCTCACTTTCGCCTCCCCAGCACGAGCAGCGAACATATCCATGTACATGCCCTCGCGGTCTGGATTCCCAGATTATTTCGCGTCGTGATCAAAACACGACAGAAGATGTTCCATCATTCTTAACTTTAGGGGCCCTTGCCGGGTGCCCACGACCGTCAACAAAAACGGCCCAGGATGAAAAACTGGCTCCGGGAAATGGGACGAGACCTCCAGGGGTCGACGTTGTGAAAAAAGTCATGGCGTCGGGGGTCTGGGTCGCGGTCGGGATCCTGGGGCGCGATCCTGCGGAAACCCGGTCGCATGGCTACGTTCCGCGCGGGGCATCCACGACGAGACACCCCGTATCCATTGAGGGTGTCGCGTCCCGGGGGCCCGGCCCGCGAAGCCGCGGGCTAGGATATATTTCAAGCCCACGACAGGAACAGGAAAAAGGGTCGGCACAACCGCCGCCATCGCCTCGCAGTCAGAGACACAGATGGCCACTCCCCGAGGAATCGGGCGCGCAACGGGAGCGAAAACTACGCGTAACGATCACGCGGCACGGCAGAAGGCAAGCATCGGCACCCAGAAGTACGAAGCCCTTCGCCCTGAAATGCCATTGATTCAGACACGGGGTCTTGGTGTCGCTGTCGAATAACGGGGCGCTGACAAAACCTCTTCCAGCATCTGGTCGCCTCCCTTTGGCGTTCTCCCTCCTTGCTGCCCCCGTGCCCCCCGAGATGCGCACCACCGCTGCCTATGCCTGTGCCTGTGCCTCTCCGTCGCTCCCGGGAGCAGAGAAGCTCGACACCACCGCGGCCATCGCGAGGAGGGAGGGGAGGGTCCTCCCTGTGGCGTGGTCCCCCCCCTCGTTTGCGGCATCCCGCCCGGGAGCATCTCCAATCCCCAGCTCGAGGAGGCATCGCGGACCTCCTCGCTGGAGGGGTCCCTCCGACGGTGGTCTGCGGGGGCCGCGGGGGGTGGCGTCTGCTCGGGGCTGGGGGGACCCACCACCGGACCTCGATCCCAGACCTCCGTCGCATTGGAGCAAATTATCCCGGCAAAGCAACCTAACAGCGATGTGTAGGAGCATATCTGGAAGCATTCCCCTTAAGATTCAGATGAGAATCCAGTTGTAGAATTGTGCTGTTCTCGCAGTCGTAGTCGCATTCGCGATGACAGTCGCAGTGGCAACGGCAGTCACAGACACAGCCTCAGCCTCAGCCTGCCTCAGCCTCAGCCTCAGCCTGCCTCAGCCTCAGCCTCAGCCTCAGCCTCAGCCTGCTTCAGCCTCAGCCTCAGTCTGCCTTCAGCCTCGGCTCAGCCTCAGGCTGCCTCAGCCTCAGCCTGCATCAGCCTCAGCCTCAGCCTCAGCCTGCCTCAGCATCAGCCTGCCTCAGCCTCAGCCTCAGCCTGCCTCAGCATTCAAAATGTGGCCCGGGAATGGAGTTCTGGGATCTCGAAGAACACGAAGTGGCCTACAGTTGGCTCCGGGCATTCAAAATCATGCCCAGGAATGGAGTTCTGGGAACTCGAAGACCACGAAGTGGCCTACAGTTGGGGCACAAAATCTGGCCCGGGAATGGAGTTCTGGGAACTCGAAGACCACGAAGTGGCCTACAGTTGGCTCCGGGCATCAAAATGTGGCCCGGGAATGGAGTTCTGGGAACTCGAAGACCACGAAGTGGCCTACAGTTGGCTCCGGGCATTCAAAATGTGGCCCGGGAATGGAGTTCTGGGAACTCGAAGAGCACGAAGTGGCCTACAGTTGGCTCCGGGCATCAAAATGTGGCCCGGGAATGGAGTTCTGGGGACTCGAAGACCACGAAGTGGCCTACAGTTGGCTCCGGGCATTCAAAATGTGGCCCGAAGTGGCCTACAGTTGGCTCCGGGCATTCAGAATGTGGCCCGGGAATGGAGTTCTGGGAGGTCGAAGAGCACGAAGTGTGTGACTGTTGGCTTAAAACGACTTCTGCGGCACCCTGTCCGGCACCCGCCCAGACCCCCCTGTGGAGTCATGATGCTCTCTTTTGAGACCACTAGAAACCTATCAGAACAAGCTGTTAGGTAAAAATGCAACAGTTGTTCGCCGTGCGTTGGGCCCCTGACGGCCCTCAGCAGGCCCCTGGACCGACACAAGACCGCTCGGGATGAGCAGGCGGCCCTGGGGAAAGGGTCGGGACTGCGGGGGGGCCCGTGTTGAAAAATGATACATCTCTGGGATCTCGGTTCGAGGGTCGAGGATTATTGCAGTGTTGCTGGAATTTGGGGACTCCTGGGGGGCGCCCTCGAATTGAGGAACGATTCTGGACTGTCAGGGAACAGCCGTTACATTGATTCGCGGTGTCGAAGTCCCTCGAATGGTGTTCTGGCACAGTCCAAGATCGTCAAGACGTAACAATCAGGTTGACTCGTGGCGCTGAAGTCATGAGACTAGTGCTTTGGTACGCTTCCGGATTTTCACACGGTTGTCCCTCAACGGGGCACTTCCCTCAATGGACACGACCCCTTGTAGGTGCCTATGAAGAGGGAGTTTATTAGAGGGAGGGTGTATACCAACATCGTTGAAGAGTCATGGGTTTACACTGGTCCTCATCCTCCTCCTCCTCGTCCTCGCCCTCCTCGCCCTCCTCCTCGCACTCATCTTTTTATGTATTCTCTTTTCCTCCTCCTATTCATCCTCCTCATCCTACTTATCCTCTTCCTCCTCCTGCTCATCCTCATCGTCATCAACATCAGCAGATTCACCATCATCATCCGCATCATCAACATCAGCAGCATCAGCATCACCATAATCATCGTCATAATCTGCATCATCATCACCACCATCAGCATCGTAATCACCATCATCAGCATCATCATCACCATCATCATCAGCATCATCAGCAGCATCATCATCGCCAACAACATCATCATCCTCATCGTCAGCATCACCATGAGATCGTGAGAATATCCATCATCACCATCAGCATCATACTCACCATCATCAGCATCATCATCATCATCAGCATCACCATCGTCATCACCATCATCATCATCATCATCATCATCATCATCATCAGCAGCAGCAGCAGCAGCAACATCATCATCATCATCATCATCATCATCATCAGCATCAGCATCAGCATCATCATCATCATCATCATCATCATCATCATCATCATCATCATCATCATCATCCATCATCATCATCTCCCCCCTTCCTCCACCCCCTCCTCCTTCTCGAGCCACCTCCTCCCCTTCTCGCCGAAGCCCCTGAATGAAAGACGAGAGGAGGCGCCGACTGCCGCGGGCTAGGCAGCTTGCTCCCGCCGCGCACGGTGCCGCGCCAAGCCGGCGCCTGCCGCCACGCCCGCCCCTCCCGGCCCAAGATAGTTCGTATCCTCCTCCACCTCCTCCTCCTCCTCCTCCTCGTCATCCTCCTCCTCCACCACCTCCGCCTTCTCCTCCTCCTCCTCCTCCTCAACCTCCTCCTCCCCCTCCCCCTCCTCTTTCTCCTCCTCCTCCTCCTCCACATCCTCCTCCTCCTCCTCCTCCACATCCTCCTCTTCCTCATCCTCCTCCTCCTTTTCATCCTCCTCCTCCTCCCCCCCTCCTCCTCCACCTCCTTCTCCTCTGCCTCCGCATCCGCCTCCTTCTCCTGTGGTCCTTGTCGTTGTAAATAAACCCTCCCCGTCGCACCACTGGTCGTGTCCATAGGCTGGGCCAGGCGTCTCGCCTGAGACTTCGTCTCCATCTCTGGCCCCCACGCTTGAAACCTGCAACTGCTTCAAGGATAGAGGAGGGTGGCTTTCAAAATGTGGCTCTCGCCGTAGCGCCGCGCACGCTCGTCTGACAAAAATTGCGCCAGTTTCAAGAATGCAGGCCCGTCTCTTTCAAAAACAGAGTTTTCGTAATCGCACACCGTCTTTTAACGCCGCGCACATTCGTCATCAAACTTGTAACAAGTTCAAAGATGAAGGGGGTCTGTTTCAACATGTGGTTGTCGCCGTAGACCCGCGCACATCAGTATGACCCAACATTCACCATCGGATGCATAATACACGACCTGGTCCACACCAACCCGCCGCAACCATCACCATCCCACGCAAAACGACAAGTCTGATCACATCCATACGACCCAACCCCCACCATCTTGTGCAGAAAACTGGTATCCAGCACACATCAGTACGACCCAACCCTTACCACTCGATGCAAAACATTGTATCCCGTGCACATCCACCCGGCCAAACGCCACAATCCGATACAAAATATAGGATCTGGTTCACATCCACAGGACCCAACCCTCATCAACATACATCAGGAAACCATTCGGTGCACATCCGTCCGACCCAACCCACAACAACCGACGCAAGAAATACAACTCGGCTTACATCCATCCGGCCCAACCCTCACCATCCTATGTCAAAAACGAGATTCGGCGCGCATCAGCTGATCTTCAAAACTGACCCACCCCCTGGCCCCGAAGTGCCCCTGGGAAAACCGGTAGACAACACCCATGAACCCATGTAACATACATGATTCATCGATGCGTCTCGGGCCCCCCTCGCCAACTCCGATTTTGGACCCAAGCGGTCCCCAGGCTGCACCAGGGTCCCCCGCACGCTCCAAAACGCTCCAAGGGCTCTCGTACGCTACAAATCCCTCCACAAACGCTCCGAAGCTCACCGTCGCCACCAGCAGCAACAGTAACCACGTCCTTATCTTCATCGTCCTCGTCGCCGAAGGAGGCCACAAGAAGCAGATGAACTCAGATCGCGTTGACGCGTGGATCACAAACGGTTTTCGCGCATCGGCTGAATCCTGGGCCTCTTGGTCATCGTGTCGTATGTACGTCACATTCGATCTGGCGCACTGCTGCCACTAACTCTCGGATCAGAGGCATGGGAGGTTCCTGGTCTGCCCCATGGTTTGGGTGCATATGTGGTTACAGCCCATTTGGGTACAGGTCGGACGTAGCCATCAGAACTTGTCGTACAGCCATTTGTTTCATTCTCGGATGTCTTCTTTTGGCCCGCGACGCGGGCTCCTCGGTCAACGCCGCCACACGAAGGTTCCAGTTCCTGGAGTAGCTAAGTGGGGCCGTATTCGGCGAGACCAGAAATCGCATGGCTGATGCGCTCTCTTGGCCGCTGCGGGGCCGCGGGCTGGGGCCGGCCCGCCACGCGGCGGTCCCTCAGCGGGGGGACTGTGGTTCGGGCCCCCAGTGCCCTCCTCCTGCTCTTCCTCCTCTACCCTCCTCTTATTCTTCCGCCTCCTCCTCCTCCTCCTCCTCCTCCGCCTCCTCCTCCTCATCCTCCATGGAGTCTCGCTCTAGCCACGCCTCTGTCTGGGACAAGATGTATCGATAGTACGAACACAAGGAGCAGCCCGCCTTCGAGTGGGTCCCCGCACACAGAGATTTGCAGACTGCGCTCGACTCTTAGGATTGTGATGCCCTGCGTTTCGTTGGTGATGAGTGGGCAGACCACTTCGTCAAGCAAGGGGCTCTCATCCACACCCCTGCCCAGGGCCTGCAGGATTATCACACCCAGAGTCTGAAAGTAGCGAAGGATCATGCACAAGTGTTAGCCTGGATGTCTCAGGCAGCTGCCAGAATGACAGCGGAGATCCAGCCCAGAGACGAGACACTGCCTCAGCCTTTGCGAGGTGTTGTGGTGCAGTCGGTTGTGCTAGATTCTCATGGGGTCAAGGTTTATAGAAGGTGGTGCTGAGTACCGTTGCACCGAGTGTAACAAGATTGCTCGGACTCCTGACTCGCTCGGGGCCCTTCGTGCCCGTTTCTGCTCGCCCTCCCCCCTCGAGAGTGCATCCGCGGAGCGGTACTTCCGCACCAGCCCAGAGACCTGGGACTTCCCGAGCCAGGCCGCGCCGGTCACGCTCACCGCCGCAGGACCCAGTTGCCGAAGCCCCCCTGGAGGGGGAGGAGGCGGGCGGTTCGGTCGGAGGCGCAGAGCGGCAAGGTGAGCTAGAGTTCTTTTCGGGCCAGCAGCATATCATGGAGCGTTTCGGTCGCACGCTCGCGTGTCTCGTCTGCGGGGCCTGATCAGTAGACCAAGGTCGTGACCTAAAGCTGCTGAACAAGTGCCGAGGCCATGCTTTGAATGACAGCAGCCGTGCTAAGGAGGAGCAAGCGGTCGCTCGCATCATGCGCGGCATTCATCCGCGCACTGGCCAGCCCTTGCCAGTGTGAAGCCCGAGCCGCCCAGTCTCCGCCGTATCGTTCGCTTGTTCGGTGCATATGCTGGGGACGTCGCGTGCTCGGCTGAACTGCGCGTAGCGTCGAGCAGTCGATTGCTGTGCAGTTTCTGTTTCACTCTAAGCTGGGGGGTGCTCGTCATCTCGGGACGTCCTTTTCACCACGCGGGACCTCCTCATCCTCCTCCTCCTCCTTCTCCTCCTCCTCCTCCCTCCCCTTTCTCGCCGCCCCGTCTCCCGAGCGCTCCTCCGCCGCCCCTGGCGCGCTCGGCAAACCTGCAGAGGGACCCCCCCGTGCGCGGGTGCCTGGAGTGCACGCCCGTGGGCCTAACGATCGGGCCCCGGGACCATCAGACATCGATCTGGGACGAACGCTGGTCATTTGATACCGGCATTTTCCAGTCGCGGCCGACGAGAACGGTCGCTACCGAGTTTGCTTCCGAGTGCGGTATCGGTCGTGGTCGATCTGCTTCAAAATCGGTCGCGACCGATCGGTCGCCACCAATCGGTCGCGACCGATTTGGAGTGCCAATCGGTCACTATCGATCGCGACCGAAAACATTCGGTACCCAATGACCTGGGAAAGACCGCCCCCGGGGAAGGCCAATCACCCGTCACTGAAAATGTTTGGAAACTCGCTGGACGAACTGGCCGCGACCGAAATTCCCGGCCTCCGGCCGCAAATGCCAGTGACGAGCGAGCTGTCGACGTCCTCGAAGCCCTCGCTTGGACCCTGACGCGCCGCCGCCTGCAGTGGTCGACCCCCTTCGGGGCGCGACCGAACTTGGAGCGACCCAGATCCGTGAGCGAAAACTTCTGGTCGCGGATGATCTGGAGTCGGGGCCGTTGGAGCCGCGCAGTGCAAACATCACAGCCTCGGACGACGCCCGGGCTTCCAAGGGGGCAGGAGAGCCCAGAATCAAATCAGTAAGTCGGATCGGCGATCGAAAATAACCGGATCGGCAGGAATCGGCAGCCGAGTGGGGAGAAGTCGAATCGGCGGACATCGGCAGGCTACTGTTCCTCCACTGGGACATCGGAGTCCAAAGCGGAATCCGAAATCGGCTCGAATCGGGATCGGAAGCCGTCGAAGTCGAATCGAACCGCAGCGGGGGAAGCGAGACGATGCCCCGAGGGGGCGGCCTCCGATCGAGGGGGGAGCTGCCGAGCCGCCGGCGGCCCACGGCTCGCGCCACGATCCCGCGGCCCTCCGCTCCGCCCGGCCCCGGGGCCCGGGCAAGATCGGCCCGGGAACCCCCCTCTCGGGGCCCAGCCTGGCGGGGCTGCCCTGCACGGGTGCGTGACGGCCACGGGGCCCGAAACTGGCCTCCTCGTCGTCGTCGTCGTCGTCGTCGTCGTCGTCGTCCTCGTCCTCCTCCTCCTCCTCCTCCTCCTCCTCCTCCTCCTCCTCGTCTGACTCCGACTCCGACTTCGACTCCGACTCCTTCGCCTCATCCTCCTCCTCCTCCTCCTCCTCCTCCTCCTCCTCCTCCTCCTCCTCTTCCTCCTCCTCGTACGACTCGCCCGAGCTCGCTTCGAACCTGGATCCTCGAGCCCTCGGGAGTCAGCGCCACCCTGGTGGGCGCTCGGCGGACCCCGTCTCGGACCGATGCAGAAAGGTGGCGCGTCCCTGCTACGTTCACGCGCCATCGCGCGCGAGAGTGGCGCCTCCCAGCCGCGCCCCTGCAAAGTTCCTGCGCGCCGCCCACGCAGCAACTACTGTGTACCCACATGAGGGGGGGGGGCTCCCGACACCCTGAGCCACTCTCGAGGGGCGCGTATCCTACGCCCGCCCACTTCCACTGGCGCTCCGTCGGCTGAGCCGCCCCCGTTCGCAGCAGGGGGAGAACGCTCCCCGAGGGAAACGGGTCCTGGACCCCGGGGCCGTCCCCCAGGACGAGTTCTTCATCCTGAATCGTCTTCTGACGGTCCCGGGGCCCGTTGGAGGGCCCCGGGAAGCCCGAAAGGGCGAACACCTCAGAACCCCGTTTGCCTCAGGAACCGTTTCCCCCCGGGCGACCGCTTCGCCTCCGCCGCCTTCCGCCGGCCCCGTGCCGAGGAAGAGGTTGTCATCTACCTTCAGGTCGGGCCTGCCCCCCTAAATATGCAAAAAAAGCCATCGAACATAGTCGGGAAAGTCGTCCCCAGACTGAAATGATTGACTATTTTTTTTTTCCGTGAGCACGAGCCGCAGCTAGGTGGCCGGTCCCCAGTGTGTAGTCTGACCCCACTTAGGCTTGCGCCCGCCTGCATCGGCCAAGCGGCGGGGACAGCTACGCATCGTGCTCCACAACGGCGAAGCAACAAAAACTCGGCGAACGAGCAAGCGAGACTAGGACAGGCTGAAGAGAAACGTAGAGACTAGGACAGGCTGAAGAGACTGAAATGATTGACTATGTTTGATGATCCCTCCTGTAGAGGGACATGCCCGACTCAAACCGCTCTTCGTCCCTCGAGGGCGGCGCCCCCTCGCGGCGGCTCAGAGAGCGTCGGTCCCCAGACCCCTCCGAGGGGCCCAAACACGCGCCGGGTCCCCGAGCTGCGCCTCGTGCCGTGGCGGCGAGCGGCCCCCACGAGGGCCCAGCGACGCTGCCTCTCGCCTCGTCCTGCGCCATACTCTCCTCCTCCTCCTCCTCCTCCTCCTCCTCCTCCTCCTCCTCCACCTCCTCCTCCTCCAACACCGATCCTGGACAGAATCACCCGGGGCCCAGGATCGGTCTATACGCCCTCCTGACCTGGGCAGACTGCATACACACCGATCCTGAGCCAGGGATCGGCCTGGACAGGATCGGTGTAGGTGTGCCTCCGACATTCGGCTACACGCCAAAGCGACCCTGGGCAAGAGTGACCTTTGGTGCGCGGATTGCGGGGGCCGCGGGGCAGGCTAAGTGCACGCCATCCAGGCGCGACGGCCAGGTGCCGGCGGGGCCCCCGTGGGCCCGCACGAAAGGGCCACTGCAAGGTCACTCTTACGCGTAGCCGACATCTCGCTGGCACTGGCCCGAGCGACCTGCCTCGAGACTGGCGGCTCCCACGGAGGCGGGGAGGCCTGCGGCGGCGACGCGTGTGTCGCGGCCGCCGCGGGGCCGCCGCCCTCCGGCACAAAGTCGTCCGGCGAGACATGCAGCAGCACCTCCCCGTGCTCTGCCCCGCTGGAGGGGGGCGGGGGACGACGCCGAGGAGGGAGCGGAGCAAGAGCAGCAGCGCGACAGAGGGGGGCACTCCTGGTCCTCGCGGCGGCGCGAGGCGGCGGAGGGAGGAAATGGAGCCAGCGGAGCAGGGGGGGAGAGGAAGAAAGTGAGGGAGGGAGGGAGGGAGGGAGGGACGAGGGAGGAGGAGGAGGAGGAGGAGGAGGAGGAGGAGGAGGAGGAGGAGGAGGAGGAGAGAAAGGAGAAGATGGGAGGAGGGACGTAGCACTCCACCGAGGTACGCTGACCAGTCGAAGTTCCCAGTATGCGATACGCAGGACGCGATCCAAACCCGGAATGTCCGAAGAGATTATTTGGGGCAGCATACCCCCTCACTGCTAAGTCTCGGCACCCCACGACTGGGAGGCGCTGGCGATGATGCTACACAGTAGCCATCGCCGCACGACCGCACTGCTGTCAAACTCACGTCATGGAAAACCCTTGCAGCTAGCCGCAACAGTGCGGGGATGGAGCCCGAAAACTGAACAGTTGCTAGACTCGGGCGCAGGCGGGAGGCAAACAGCGCAAGCGCGCGCTTGCCCTTTCCAAGTCCAGTGGCACAGCACAGGTGCGAAAGGGCCCCAGAAAAGGGAAGGACCGAAGGGGAGTGGGAAGGGGAGAAGGAGGGGGAGAGGGGGCAGTGGCGCTGTACGACCATCCCCTGCGGCCCAATTGGCTGTATTTTTTCGTGCAGCAACACACGTCAGCCGGCGTGGACCCCAAGCTGCGTGCTTCCTAGCAGAAAATGTTGCGCAATCGAGGTGGGGCAATCTATGTGGTGCACATCCACGTGGTGCAAAGCATGTTTGCAATTAATACGTTGCACAGTCTACGTTGTGCAATTTGTGTGGTGCAAACTTTGTGCAGCAGCATCGGTGGTGCAGCACATGTTGTGCAACCTGCGTGGCATATATGTGGCGCAAACTAGGTGGTGCAATCGATGTACTGCGCAATCCATGTGGTGCAATCGGCGTGGTGAGACCCATGTGATGCCCGCCGTCATCACGCAAGGAATCCCTCCAGGGTCTGCAGCCAGCTGGGCGCATTCTTTAAACGAACGCCCCACCGTAGTGGATCGATGGCGCGCTGTTCCTTGTACGTGCGGTCACGTCGAAGCTTGTCCGAAAAAATTCTTCCGTCGCGGCGCGGCAGAGGCAATCCGCTCGCGCGTCGAGCAACCCGGGCTACGGCGTTGCAAACCTTCTCTCGGGGCCTCCCAACATGGTGGTGACCACACCGTGCGGTGTAGTCGGGGGGATTCGGGGTCACCGCACGGCTTTGGGACTCGAGGCCTTCTCCGAGGACGTCTCGGGCGACGGGGGCCCCCAAGGTGCCAAGACCGTCGGAGGCTTTGGAAGATTTCGAGGTCAACGCACAGTCTATCGCCGCACCGGCTTCGGATTTCGGGACTCCACAGTCCCGCACGCAAGGGGGGGGTTTAGAGCCGGAAGAGGGCGGCTGCGGAGGGGGAGGGGGAGGGAGCGGGAGCCCTCTCGCCTCGGGGCGCCGCGGGTGGGGGGGGGGCGCGGGCATGGAATGGAGCCCGAAGGAGCGGGAGGATCTGCGGGGCCCTCGGGTGTACACCACCACCACCTCCCTCATCCCCTCCCTCTCCCAGGAAAGAGCAGAGGAAGATGAGGGTGGAGGAGGGAGGGTGGTGGGCTTGTTTTCCACCGCCACCACCATAAGTAGGAGGGGGAGGGGTTCCTCCTCCTCCTCCTCCTCGTCCTCCTCCCTCCTCCTCCTCCTCCCTCCTCCTCCTCCTCCTCCTCCCCCTCCCCCTCCCCCTCCCCCCCTTCTCCTCCTCCTCCTCCTCCTCTCCTCTCCTCCTCCTCCTCACCCTCCTGCCTCCCCACTCCCTCCTCCCCCCCTCCTCTTCCTCCTCCTCCTCCTCCTCCTCCTCCTCCTCCTCCTCCTCCTCCTCCTGAGACTTCCTTACCATTTGCGATCCTGAAGCTCGAATCTGCAGCAATTTCTAGGATGGAGAGCGGGTCCATTTCAAAAAAGAGGGCGGTTCCTTTTTCCCGGCGGAGCCGGGTGAAATTCCGTGCCCGCCAGCTGACTGATGACTGACTGAACGTCAGGGGGCAGCTCGGGAGACACATTTCAAACCGCCCGCGGGAGCGCAACCCGAGCGCGCAACCGCAACCGCAACCGCAACCGGGCGACACATTTCAAAGCGCCCGCGGGCGCAACCGCAACCGCGACCGGGCGACAAATTTCAACCCGCCCGCGGGAGCGCGCAACCACAACCGCAACCGCAACCGGGCGACACATTTCAAAGCGCCCGCGGGCGCAACCGCAACCGCAAGCGGGCGACACATTTCACCCCGCCCGCGGGAGGGCGCAACCGCAACCGCAACCGCAACCGGGCGACACATTTCAACCGCCCGCGGGAGGGCGCAACCGCAACCGCAACCGGGCGACACATTTCAAAGCGCCCGCGGGAGGGCGCACCCGCAGGGTTTCAAGGGGGTCGATTGCGCGTGCACTTGTGCGTAAGCTGCCCGCGGAAGGTGGCGCGTAGGCGCCTTAGTGCGAGGACGAGGATGGCGAGGAGGAAGGAAGTGGAGGGGGAGGAGGAGGAGGATGGTGAGGAGGGGGAGGAGGACAATGAGGAGGAGGAGACGGATGCCGAGGAGGAGGCGGAGGAGGAGGAGGAGGAGGACAATGAGGGGGTGGAAATGGATGCCGAGGAGGAGGGGGACGACGACGACGACGACGACGACGACGACGACGACAGGACGACGACGACGACGACGACGGCGAGGAGGAAGACTGAGCAACAGCAGGGGGATGGGCTGGGGGGGGGCAGGGGGCGGGGGACGACAAGGAGAAGAAGGAGGAGCCTCTGGCGGAGGGCCCGACGACGAGCCCCCGCGTGGCCCGCGGTTCTCCGCCGGGACATTGCAGCGGGGAATCCCTATTCCACGCTGCTGCCTTTGATTCAAAATGTGGCTCTCGCCTTAGCGCCGCGCGCATTCGTCATCAAAGTTTGCTATCGTCTCAAGGATGCGTAGGGCCGAAGTCCTAGGAATGGTGTTCTGGCACGATTCAGGATTGCCAGGATGCACAAGTCACGCAGATTCGCTGTGTTGAAATCCCAGCAGCGGCTCCATGGCACGATTTAAGAGTGTCCAGACACAAAATTGACACAGCATTGACGTTGACTCGCAGCGCTGCAGTTCCAGCAATTGTGTTCGGACGGTTTTCTTTCAATGGTACACCTCCCGCGATTAAAAGATATGTCAGTACAGAAACCTATGCTTTTATCAAAACAAATTGGCAGAAGGGTGGATTGCAACATCGTCTGCGCGTCTTAGGTTTACACTAATTATGTTTCTCCTCGTCTTCCTCATCTCTCCTCTTGCTCACTCCTCCATCCGAACTCCTTCTCCGCCTCCTTCCTCCTCCTCCTCCTCCTCCACCTCCTCACCTCCTCCACCTCCTCCACCTTCTCCATGGGGATACGAGAAGGTACCGATACCGCTACTCCCTGGACCTCTCCAGGGGTGCGTTTGGACCAGAAGTTCGAGGCGAATCCAGCCGTGGCGACGGGGGCATCCCAGGAGGCCCAGAAAGGAGAAACCAACGGAAAAGGTAGCAGTATCGGTACCTTCTCCTCCTTCTCCACCTCCTCCGTCCTCGCCCTCCTAGTCCTTCGCCGCAGCCTCCATCCTGGCATGCCCCTCCCCCCATAGGGATACCACAGACGCAGCTGCCAGGAGCGTGGACATCAGCGCTGCCCAAATCGGGTCCCCGAGCGCGCACCCGTGCACGTCGGCCACCCACCCGAGCGGAGCCGCCTGAGTCAACAAGGATCAGGCAGAACGGGGGGGGGGGCTCGGGATGATTTAGGGTTCGAGGTTCGGTTTAGGGCTCGAGCTTCGGACTTCTGACGTGTTCGTGGGTTCTCCTGGAGATGCTCTCCAGCAGCTGCGTCTCGCCGAGGGCGCTCCAGGGCTGCCCGGATCGTCCCGAGCGGCCGCCGGAGGCCCGAGTCGCAACCCGAGAACCAGTGGAAGGAGAAGGGGGTTGTGCTGGGGGGCTGCGGTGGCCAGCGCTGGTTCGGACCAGCACAGTGGCGAAGAAAGGGGCCCCCTCGTCGCCACGGCTGAACGCGGCTCGGACACCTTGTCGGCTTCGGCCTGGTGAGACGAATGCTGAACGGACTTGCCTTCGCCCCCTCCTCTGAATCGATTGCTCGGGGCCAGTCTAGCATAGACCTCCCGACCGCTTCCGATCTGCCTGGATGCACAAGGTGATCAGATGACCTGGCGACCGCGAGCCAACACATAACTGATGGGCCCATTTTCCACCACCGCTACCATATGTAGGAGGGAAGGACGAGGAGGAGGAGGAGGAGGAGGAAGAGGAGGAGGAGGAAGAGGAGGAAGGGGAGGAGGAGGCGGAGGAGGAGAAGGAGAATGAGGAGGAGGAGGAGGAGGAGGAGGAGGAGGACCTCCTCATCCTCGCTTCTCCCCCGTCCTGCAGGTGGTAGTGGTGGTGGGACGCTGGCCCATCAGCAACAGCCAAACGCCGCCGCGCCGCTGCGAATACGGGGGCAGGCGGGCACGGCGGGTGCAGGGCCAGACTACGCGCTGTGGATGCCATGACAATGAACACCCTAACGATCCGATCATTGAATTGAACCTGTGTTCAGCATGCTTGACACACGTCGTAAAAGTGTTGGAAGCCTGTTTTTACATGACTGAGACCTATTCGAAACATGTCTTTACACGATTGAGACACATTGGATTTGAAAACGTGTTCAACATGTTTGACGCACCTATCGTAAAAGTGTTGGAAGCATGACTTTACAGGCTTAAGACATACTTGACACATTGCTTGGAGATCTAAAACTGGTTTGGCAACACGCTTCCTCTCCATTTGATCGTTGTCCAAAGACATAGCGCTGTGAGCAGGCACATCCAACGCGCCACGACCATTCGCACGGGCGTTGCCTCCGATTACAAACTATGAACTAGATCGCCGCCTAATGCTGTAGGAACGTTGGCCAATATCGGCCATAAGATTGCGTACGTGCGCAGCTTCCCGCTGCACAGGACGAATGGCTGCATCTTCGGTCCAGAGTGACAGGCGAATGATTACATACAGTAGAGGCCAGCCCACAAGAAGCCTTCCACAAGAAACCCAACCCTGAGACCCCAGGACACCCATCGGCTTTTGGTGTGGGAGCGTCCTGCGTTCCATAGCAAAACGATCGAAACCCAAGAAACCCAGGGCACCCTGGAGGCAGGCAGGGTGTTTCTTGGCATGGGCCCCAATTGTACCAACTGCCATCGAGCGTCAGGTCTTTGCTATTGTTTGTCACACCCTGCGCGCGCATGCACTCAAGCTGAGATTCGTTGACCTCTTTTCCCCAACCATCCTGTGGTGTTGGGTCCTCGTTTTGAAGAGACAGCGCCCCGCGTCCCACCTCCTTCCTTCCTGCTCCTCCCCCTCCTCCTTCCTCCCCCTCCTTGCCCCTGCTCTCGGCACACCTCTCACACGTTTCGTAGCCCCATATGGAGCTCCACCGAAGGCCCCAGTGGTTGCTCTCGCATGCGGTTCCCCCACCCAGGGCAGCGCTTCGTGGCCCCATGGGGAGCTCCACCGAAGGCCCCAGTGGCTGCTCTCGCATGCGGTTCCCCCACCCAGGGCAGCGCTTCGTGGCCCCATGGGGAGCTCCACCGAAGGCCCCCGTGGCGCAGTTCGCATGCGCTTCCCCCACCCAGGGCAGCGCTTCGTGGCCCCATGGGGAGCTCCACCGAAGGCCCCAGTGGCTGCTCTCGCAGGCGCTTCCCCCACCCAGGGCAGCGCTTCGTGGCCCCATGGCGGGCTCCACCGAAGGCCCCAGTGGCTGCTCTCGCATGCGGTTCCCCCACCCAGGGCAGCGCTTCGTGGCCCCATGGGGAGCTCCACCGAAGGCCCCAATGGCTGCTCTCGCATGCGTTTCCCCCACCCAGGGCAAGCGCTTCGTGGCCTCAAGTGAGCTCCACCGAAGCTGCCTCCGCATTCACCCCAGCGCTTGTGGCCCATGGGGAGCTCCACGAAGGCCCAGTGGTTGCTCTCGCATGCTCTCGCATGCGGTTCCCCCACCCAGGGCAGCGCTTCGTGGCCCCATGGGGAGCTCCACCGAAGGCCCCAGTGGCTGCTCTCGCATGCGTTTCCCCCACCCAGGGCAGCGCTTCGTGGCCCCATGGGGAGCTCCACCGAAGGCCCCAGTGGCTGCTCTCGCCTGCGGTTCCCCCACCCAGGGCAGCGCTTCGTGGCCCCATGGGGAGCTAGCTCCACCGAAGGCCCCCGTGGCGCAGTTCGCATGCGGATCCCCCACCCAGGGCAGCGCTTCGTGGCCCCATACTGAGCTCCACCGAAGGCCCCAGTGGCTGCTCTCGCATGCGGTTCCCCCACCCAGGGCAGCGCTTCGTGGCCCCATGGGGAGCTCCACCGAAGGCCCCAGTGGCTGCTCTCGCAAGCGCTTCCCCCGCCCAGGGCAGCGCTTCGTGGCCCCATAGGGAGCTCCACCGAAGGCCCCAGTGGCTGCTCTCGCATGCGGTTCCCCCACCCAAGGCAGCGCTTCGTGGCCCCATAGGGAGCCCCACCGAAAGCGGCACCCACAACGCGTTACGAACAATTGCTTCTGGGCGAGTGCGGCCTAAGGCAGAATCCGGATCACAAAACGAACTCGGGCGACCCTGGGCGAGCCTCCTGGCCGGAGGGGAGGAGGTACAGGAGGACGCAGGCCGAGAAATTCGCCGACCCCTTCTTGGGGCTCCCTCGGCGTGCGAAAGCGCTGCCCCCGAAGTTTTGTCAAATTTCCATCCATTGGGACGACGCTCCAATTCTTGCGCTTCAAAAAAAACAGTAGTAGTAGTAGTAGTAGTAGTAGTAGTAGTAGTAGTAGTAGTAGTAGTAGTAGTAGTAGTAGTAGTAGTAGTAGTAGTAGTAGTAGTAGTAGTAGTAGTAGTAGTAGTAGTAGTAGTAGTAGTAGTAGTAGTAGTAGTAGTAGTAGTAGTAGTAGTAGTAGTAGTAGTAGTAGTAGTAGTAGTAGTAGTAGTAGTAGTAGGAGTAGGAGTAGGAGTAGGAGTAGGAGTAGGAGTAGGAGTCAAGCTAGCCAGCTCGAGCGAGTCAAGCATGGCATGCCCAGTCCCACCCGCCCTCCCACAACATAAGAAGCAAAGCTGGCACAACTGGGGGCCGAAGTCACACCGGCCAGCCGGTTTGGTACAGCTGATGCGGCCGCGATGGCGGTTGCCGACGGGAACTGGCGAGCGCGTGTTGAATGCCGCGCACGCATTGCCAGACGAGTCGAGAATGGCCCGGTACACCGCAGGAAGCCTGAAGGCCCCAACTTGTACTGTTTTTTTATAAAGGGGGGGTTTGGATGGGCGGGCGCGGGGTGTGCGCCGCATCCCATTCCTGCCAAGCATTTTGCGACGTGGACGACAGGACGTCCATGCTGAGAGGAAAAACGTTGGTGCGCGGCGCCGAGGCGAGAGCGACATGTCACCCCTTCGCGCGGGGTGTGCACCGCGTCCCATTCCTGCCACGCATTTTGCGACGTGACGACAGCACGACCATGTTGACAAGAAAAACAAAAACTGTGTATTGTCTTTTGCAGATTAGAATGGGACGGATTGGATGGGCGGGCGCGGGGTGTGCGCCGCGTCCCATTCCTGCCATGCATTTTGCGACGTGGACGACAGGACGTCCATGCGACGGTGCCAATGACGGCGACGACTCTAGAAGGATTTGAGCATGCGCTCGCGGCGACGCGCGCGCATGTCGCCCGCGTGGTATTTTTTGCACAGGATTCGCGGCCTGGGTGCATGACAGAGCATCGCGAGTGCACCGCGCGATGACGTGAAATCGCTGGATTTGACCGAATTCTTAAGATTCCTATGGTTTTCCTATGATTTCAGCAAGAGAGCCCGGGCAGGAAATTTGTAGAATTTTTGTGAAAAAAGCATTGGGTTTTTGATGTTTTTATGTTGAAATGCTTGCAAACACACGGTGTTCGGTAGGATTCTGACATGAACGCGCGCGTGTGCTCTTTGTGGTATTTTTTGCAATGGATTATCGCCGTGGACGACAGGACGTCCATGTCGAGAGGAAAAAATAAGAAAAATGTTGATTTTGTATTGTTTTTTACAGGTTAGGATGGGACCACCCGGATGCGGCCCCTATCGGCCGGCCTGAGGGGGGAGTAGGAGTATATTCTAATAAGGAATAAGGATAGTAGTAGTAGTAGTAGTAGTAGTAGTAGTAGTAGTAGTAGTAGTAGTAGTAGTAGTAGTAGTAGTAGTAGTAGTAGTAGTAGTAGTAGTAGTAGTAGTAGTAGTAGTAGTAGTAGTAGTAGTAGTAGTAGTAGTAGTAGTAGTAGTAGTAGTAGTAGTAGTAGTAGTAGTAGTAGTAGTAGTAGTAGTAGTAGTAGTAGTAGTAGTAGTAGTAGTAGTAGTAGTAGTAGTAGTAGTAGTAGTAGTAGTAGTAGTAGTAGTAGTAGTAGTAGTGGTAGTAGTAGTAGTAGTAGTAGTAGTAGTAGTAGTAGTAGTAGTAGTAGTAGTAGTAGTAGTAGTAGTAGTAGTAGTAGTAGTAGTAGTAGTAGTAGTAGTAGTAGTAGTAGTAGTAGCAGTAGTAGTAGTAGTATAGTAGTAGTAGTAGTAGTAGTAGTAGTAGTCGTAGTAGTAGTAGTAGTAGTAGTAGTAGTAGTAGTAGTAGTAGTAGTAGTAGTAGTAGTAGTAGTAGTAGTAGTAGTAGTAGTAGTAGTAGTAGTAGTAGTAGTAGTAGTAGTAGTAGTAGTAGTAGTAGTAGTAGTAGTAGTAGTAGTAGTAGTAGTAGTAGTAGTAGTAGTAGTAGTAGTAGTAGTAGTAGTAGTAGTAGTAGTAGTAGTAGTAGTAGTAGTAGTAGTAGTAGTAGTAGTAGTAGTAGTAGTAGCGTCGTAGTAGTAGTAGTAGTAGTAGTAGCAGCAGTAGTAGTAGTAGTAGTAGTAGCAGTAGTGGTAGTAGTAGCAGTAGTAGTTCCTGAAACACTTCCACCGGGAGCCCGGTCGGGCCGATTTGGAGCGGGGTCCCGATTTCCCCTGGCGAACTCGCTTGCTCTAGAACTGCTTCTTGACGCCGACCACGGCTGCCCCAGAAAAGGCGCCAAAATGATCCACCCACGAGAGCTCTGGCACGGAAGCGGTCCAACACAGCCTCAGCACGGCCCGAGAAGATCCCAACACGCACGGCCCACGGCGCTCCTCAGGCGCCCCGAGACGGCCACATGAGGGCCCCCAAGAGCCCCCCGAGTGGCAAAGCCATTCATCCCCATAGATGTCTCACCTTTTCCATCTCCAGGGTGCCTAAGTCAGCCCAAGAGGCCCTAAAGATCGCCCCACGACGGCCCAAAAAACCCAAAAGAGATCCGAAACGGCCCAAGAGAGTCCCAAGTGGTTCAAGACGCCCCCAAGACTGCCCAAGAGGCCCCCATGAGGGCCTAAGGATGAGCCCAGGAGGGGGAACTCGAAGGAGCCATGGGAGCCCTATACCCCACAAGATGGCCGCCAAGACCCCCAGCAATGCCCCCAGAAGACCCCAGAAGCCCCCACATGGGACCCCAGGATGCTCCCCAGAAGGCTCCGAAACAACCCGGCAGGGCACCATAAGGGCGCACGGTGCCACGACGCGTCCACGACAGCGCACCCCCAGAAGGGAGGCATCCAGGGCTCCCGAGGGGTCGGGGGGGGAAGTGAGAAGGGGCGGGCCTTCTCAGAAGGCTCGAAGTCCCCAGCCGTCTCAGAAGTTTCCTAAGCCTTCGGAAAGCTCCTCCGAAGGCGCGAGGGCTTCTGAGAAGTCCCGCCGCCTTCTGAGAAGGCCTTCTCTTCTCATTTTCCTCCTCACTCGCCGAGCATGAATCAAAGAGTCGTATGCCAATGGCGGTTCAATAACTGAAACTGTGCCGACGCCGGCGTTGGCGCGCAGCTCTCTTACGCGGCCACCTCGGCGGAGCTGCGCACGCCGAGCGGTGGGTGAAACCATCCGCGGACGCGTCGCCCATGGACGCCCCCGGCGCAGGACGACGGTGAAGGCGCGACAATGTGGGAGCAGGGCGCGATGCCAACAAAAAAACAGGCTCTGCCTCCACCCCCAAGCCAGGGTTGTCGCTACCACTCCACGCGACTTCATCCTTATTACGCACGACCGCCCATCCTGTGTGTCAAGCGCGGTCATCCCAACCCATTTGGGATCGCACCACCACCACCACCACCAACCCCGCCATCTTCTGCAACAGGTACAAGAAATTGCAAATGCGTTATGTAATACCTGCGTGCTGTAACAATCCGTATCCAATAATACCATGCGCCCCCACATGTCATAACCAGATTGAGAAAACAATAACAGATCGAACTGTTAAACAGCACCAACGCAAAGGCAATCAAAGTTACCAAGCGACAGTTCAGCGTCGACCTAACATGTTAGATTCCTTCGCGCGTGCGCGCAAAATCGCTGCAACCAAAAGAAATCCATGGTGTTTCTGGTCGCGCTGCCGAGTGGGAACACGCGGGTCACACGCGCCCGCGTGTCGAAAACACACAACAACGACCGTCGCGCACCCGCCAACTCTGTGAAGCAAAACACTGCTGGCCCCACGCGCGCGTCCCCTCGCGCGCAAGTCGAATGCCTTACAGAGCAAGCGGCGGCCTGAGCAGCTCAACGCAGAAATGGCCAACGAAAACAAGGGGCGTGCTCAAAAAGGTACACACGCAATCATACATGTGTGCGCGCGTACTACCTCGTCATCCTCAACAACACCAACGGTATCAATATCGCGAACGTAATCATTGACATCGCCATCAGCACCGTCATAACCGTCATCGTCATAACCACCAACGTCGCCATCATTGTCATCGTCGATGTCGTCGCCCTCGTCATCGTCGCTACGGTAAACATCATCACCATCATCAACAACAACCTCATCGTCGTCGTCATCATCAAATCAGAGTCATGCTCATCATAGGCACCACCATGATCATCTTCATCATCACCATCACCGACAACATCATCATATCATCATCACTTCATCATCGCCGCCGTCGCCGTCGTCGTCGTCCTCGATGTCGCCGGTGTCGTCGTCACCATTATCACTCGCCAGCCCGAGCCATTGATCTGCATGGGCGGAGCCTGAGCGTCACTGCGACGCTGGAGATTCCAGGGCAAGTTCCGACGGGTAACTGCCCCCACGGTCTGAGCGAGAATTGGCAGCAGGCTGCGGGTGGGAGGGCGGGATGGCTGCACGAGCAGTGGAGCCGACGACTTCCAGTTCCTCATAACCATAAAGGGGCCCAGGGACGCACAAAGAAATACACACAAATCCCAGGATTCCCCATACTTTCCCATTTTGTTTTGGTTTTCGTCTTCCCCCCCATTTCCCATATTTTCCCATATTTTCCTGGGGATCGACGATTAATTGTGTCTGTGTGCTTTTCCCCTCCTGAAGAAAATTGCACCACAAAGAAAGCACACGGAAAGCTCAAGAGCCAACTGCTCGGGGTTCGCGCTGGCCAGCGCCCTCCCTAACGACAACCATCTCTCCACGTCGCACCTGCTCGCTGGCATCGACCCACCCCGAGCCTCTTCCCGCACCCCCCGCCAGCATCCTCGACCGCCCCAAGACTAGCAAAGACGCTCCGAAGACGGCCAAGATGTCCGAAGAAGCACCGACGACGTTCCCAAGATGTTTCCCACACCGCCCTGGACACCCTCAAAAAGCCGGGCTTCCCATAGGCTCGACGAGGTCCAAAGAACTAGTCCACAGCTTTCTAGAAGCCCTTCGGATACCCACAAACGAATGACTCATGTGCTTGATGCGATTTGCTCTGACAGCGCTCATCGCACTTAAAGCCGCAAGAAGGCCCAAGAAACTATCAACATAGCCCCCCAGCGGCCTCCAAGAGGACCCACGCGGCTCAAGCTGACCCCAAACGAGTTGTCCAGCCACGCCAGATCCGCAATATGTAATATGTGTGCTTGGCGAGCAACCAGCGAGCTGTCCAGCCGCGCATGCCCCATAGGTAAGTGGACGGCGCCAGACACAACTCATCCTATCACACCTGCTCCACAGGTGACCCAAGACAGGGATTTCCTGCTGCTTAGAAAGCCATAACAACAACAGCAACCACAACAACAACAACAACCACAGCAACAACAACAACAACAACAGCAGCAGCAACAACAACAACAACAACAACAAACGCAAAAACAACAACAACAACAACAACAACAACAACAACAACAACAACAGCAGCATTAACAACAACAACAACAACAACAACAACAACAACACCAACACCAACACCAACACCAACACCAACACCAACAACAACAACAACAACAACAATAACAACAACAACAACAGCAACAACAACAACAACAACACCAACACCAACAACCACAACAACAACAACAACGACAACAACAACAACAACAACACCAACAACAACAACAACAACAACAACAACAACAAAACGACACCCGCTCCACGGAGGGGGGGCGAAACTCTGAGCGCGCAGGCCAGTGCAGGACCACGGCTGGGCAGTCACAAGGGGCCTCTGGGCGGGAGCACGGCGAGTCCGTGCCTCCAGGGGGCTCTGCACAGACTGGCAGTGGCCCGCCTCGCTCGAGGCGGCACATGGGAAGATCGGGCCGGGCGAAAGGGGGGGATAGCAAAGGGGGGGGTTGAAAATCAGCTCGCGTAGCTGATTTTCCCGGCGCCTCCCGGCGCCAGGAGGCGCCCATGTATCGAGGATCGGGCCCCTCGGTGGGGCCCAAACCAGCTGCATGCAGCAGATTTCGTAGCCCCCCCTTTCCCAATCCCCCCCTTTCGTCCGGCCCGAGAAGAGATTGCTCGGTGGCTGGTGCACGCACCACGCCAAACACGGCGACGGTGCCGCCTCTGCCTGCGGGCGTGGCAAGGGAAGGCCGCGAGGCACGTGCGATGCACCACCGAGGCCAGCCATGCAGAGCCATGCCCGGAGTAATCCCGCGTGATGACTGTGGCCAAGCCGCGCTCGTGGTCACTGGTCTCGTCGGGGCACAAGTGGCAGCCCAGCAGAATGATCCCAGGCTTGAAGGCGCATTGATCCTCGACATCGAGAGGCCGCGCACGACCTTGGTGGGCAGCCGGCTGGGAAGAAAGTGCTTCTGCGCGGCGCTGAAGCGCGATCAGCCGCATCGCAGCGACCTGACCGGGCCAGTGGAACGCCATGCGCAGTGGTCTCCTCGAGCTAGCGGCCGGCGGACGGGCCCTGGAAGCACCAGCCGGCCTTCTGCAGGGCCACGCTGCTGTCCGAGGCGGCGGCGGTGGTACCGCCTGCTCTCTGGAACCACGGCCCGCCGCTCCAGTCGCCGCCGCGGCAGCCGCGTGCTGTGCTCGCGGCCTGCCCGCGGTGCCGCAGGCACCCCTGGCGGCCGAGGGCGCGGTGGCGAGGAGGGCCCTGGGCTCGCCGAGCATGGCGCGGGCACGCAGAGGTGCGGGGAGGAGTCGCAGGGTGCAACGATCGCAGCGGCGAGACGCACCCCCGAGGCCAAGGTCGTGCCACCGCCACAACTGCCGGCACGCGCGGAAGACTGGTGCGCAGAGGACCGCACGCACGGGGCGAAGCAGAGGGTCGAAGTCTCAAGGAGACCCCGTGCAGCCAAGCGCAGGAAACAAAGATCCGAACCCGGAGTTGCAAATCTCGTACCGGAGGCTGGTGGTTGGCCCCTCCCTCTTGCCCAGGGCAGCGGCCAGCTGGAAAGGTCACCATAGAAGCACGCACCCACCGCTCACACGAAGAAGAACACGGGCATGCTTTATAGCTGGGCTACAAGCTGTGGGTTCCGGAGCTCTCGACCCCATCTTGCGCGCTCCTGGGGGTAGAGGAACAAAAACCTGCATAAACATGAACGTTGGGCGGACCGCGCGGATTTCTTGGATCTGAGCTGGATCCCCCTCCCTGGCGCGCGGAGCGCGCCAGGGGCTGCGCCAGAGGCGCCGCTGGGGGGGCCCAGCGCGGATCCAAGAAATCTGCGCAGAGCGCCCAAAGTTTATGTGTGCCGCGTTTTCCCTTCTTCGCTGGGGAGCACTCTGCGAGGTACCCCACGACACCCCAGCAGGTTGCCGACGAGGAGAGGCATGCCATTCCGAGACCCACCTCGCGTTCCCAGGAGAACCCAGAATCGAATCGATGAGTCGGATCGGCGATCGACCTGAACCGGATCGGCGGAAATCGGCAGCTGAATCGGGAAAAATCGAATCGGCAGAGATCGGCAGGCCAGTAGGCCGTTGCTGAGAAATCGGAGCCCGAAGTCGCGTCGCATCGGCATCGGAATCCATCGAAATCGAAATCGAATCGAATCGAACCAGAGGAGTCGGCACGAGCCCTGCGCCGCTCCCGCCCCAGGACGCGAAGCGGGCCTGCCGGGCCCCCCCAACAACAAACAGAACCCAGAGGAGCTGGCCTTAGGTCGGGCATGTCCTCCTACAGACGGATTTCTAGCGAAAACTCAAAATGCTGAACAAATCAAGAATAACATAACATAACAGTTTCTATATATATGTATATTTATACGCATACATACAATACATTACATTACATTACATTACATTACATCACATTACATTACATTACATTACATTACATTACATTACATTACGTTACGTTACATTACATTACATTACATTACATTACATTACATTACATTACATTACATACATTACATACATACATACATACATGCATACATACATACATACATACGTACATACATATATACACAAACCACACCAAACAAAATCGTCCCCGTACTATGCTTGACCATGTTCGAATACTCCTCCTGTAGAGGGACACGCCCGACTTAAAGCTGGCCGCCTCGCGACGCCGAGGCCCTGGGCTCGGCGGGCGGCCGCAGCGCGCCGCCCGAAGCGGCTGCCTCCCCAGAGGAGGGCCGCCGAGGAGGCGCAGCTGCCGGAGAGCACCGCAGGGGCACGGGGCAAGAAGAACTAGGTCGGGCATGTCCCCCTACAGTCTGATTTTAGCCCAAACAATATTCAAACAAAATCTCAATAATAGTCAAAACATAACAGCAATAATGGTAATATTCATAATAATAATAATAACAATAATAATAATAATCATCATCATCATCATTATCATCATCATCATCATCATCATCATCATCATCATCATCATCATCATCATCATCAGTATTCTCATCATCATCATCATCATCATCATAATCATCATCATAATCATAAGCATCATCAGCATCACCATCATTATCATCATCATCATCCTCATTCTCATCCTCATCCTCAACCTCATCCTCATCCTCATCCTCATCGCATCATCATCATCACCATCATCATAATCATCATCATCATCACCATCATAATCATAATACTTAATAGTGCTAAACATAATAATACTAATACTACGAATAAGAAACAAAGAATAATAGTGATAATACTAATAACAACAACGAAACTAATAACAAACATAATAACAATGATAATAATAATCATCATAATCATAATACTAAATCGCCCCATTTCGATGTGCTTGACTATTTTTTTAATATTCCCCCTGTGGAGGGACATGCCGGACTTAAAGGAAGAGCTGGCCTCGAGCCGATCCCCTCAGTCGGAGCTCGACCACAAGAAGCCTTCCAAAAGAAGCCTTCCACAAGGGGCACTCGTGGAGTCCAAAACCCGGATGGCAGGTCGCCAGAAGGGCGTGGAAAGGCCCTTCCAAGAGCTCTGGAAGGACCTGCAGAGAGCGTCCGGAGGACCTTCTGGAGAGCTTCCGGGCACGCGTATTGGGAAACGCTTAGAAAAAGGCCTCTCGGGAAACGCTGCGACTTCACACAGGCTGCTGCGATGCTGGAAAAAGGAAGCCGGAGCGATCTCCGGGGCTTCTGAATGTTAAACCCTCTTAGCCATCAGAGAGCTATCCGGGAACAGGGCAAGAAGAACTGGTCACGAGCGGATCCCTACAGTAGGAGCTCGACCACAAGAAGCCTTCCACAAGAAGCCCAACCCCGAGACCCCAGGAAGGCCATCGATGCTCTTGGTGTGGGACCGTCGCGCCTCCCACGGAAGAACCAGAGAAGCCCCAAAAACCCAGGGCACCCTGGAGGCAAGCAGGGCGTTCTTGGCACAGGTCCCCCACTGCACCCCCACGATCGGCAAGCCCGAGGCGACGACAGTCCCAGGGGCGTTCCCTCGGGAGCAGTCGGCTGCACGCAGGGGTGACCCCAGGCAAGAGCTGCCGCCGGCGCGCGGCCGATGCGGGGGGGCGCGGGGGGGCCCGACCCAGGCGCGCGAGCCGCGGTCGGGGGGCCCCTTTTGGGCCCGCGCCGGAGGTCGCTCCGGCTCCGGCGAGATGCTCTTGCGCCCAGCCGAGACAGAGGGGGGAGCCCCTACCATGGGCACCCAGGTAAGGCGATGCGAAACATGAGATAGGGATGTGTTTCGAGCTTGTCTTCAAGTTTATATATACTGGTTTTTACATATATATATATATATATATATATGTACATACATACATACACACATACATACATACATACATACATACATGCATGCATGCATGCATGCATACATACATACATACATACATACATACATACGTGCATACATACATATATACACACATACATCCATACATACATACATACATACATACATACATACATACATACATACATACATACATACATACATACATACATACATACATACATACATACATACATACATACATACCTATCTACCTACATACATGCATGCATACATACATACCTACATACATACATACATACATGAAAACCAGAAAACGGCGAGGAAGAACCCCAGAGGCCAAGGCCGAGGGCAGCACAAAGAAAGCCTCCCACCGTGGCTTCTGCCACACCGCGAGGGGCCCGACGGCGACGACGCAGACCACAGCAGGAGCTGCGGGGGGCGGGGGGAGGGGGCGAAAGAGAGACACAGCCAGCGTGCTCCCATAAAGGAGAGTCGGACCCGTGGGCGGAGCGCACAGGTGGGCACTACACCTGCAGCCAACGCCCGCCTCTTCCAAGGAGCAGGTGTGCTCCCGAGAACCCTTCACAACCACCCCCCTCCCCCTGCCCCCCTCTGCGCGCGGCTGAGTCAGGAACGAAGGGGCGTTCCTGGCCACGGCGAGCGCCGGCCACGCATCGCTTCTCCGACCTGGATCTAGGGTCAGGTCGGGCATGTCCCCTTACAGGGAGATTTTGGACGAAACAATAAAAAATGTCCAACAACATATATGCATATGTCTATATACTATTTTTTATTTCTGTTTAACAAAAAAAGCAAAAACACACACACATTGTCAACAAAATCGTCCCCAGACTATTTTTTGAATATTCTTGAACATTCCTCCTGTAGAGGGACAGGCCCGACTTAAATCTGGGGCTCCAGGGGAAGAAGACTCCAAGGGCCCACTGGAGACGAGAGGACCTCCGAAGATCTCCGAGGGCCCACCGGAGAGCGCCGAGGACCTCCGCCGGGCGTACTTTAGTCGTTCGGAGGTGCGCGGGGTTCCTTGCGAAGCTCCTTCGGTTCTCCACCTGAGCGGCGAGAAGAAAGGGGTCTTGCGCGAGATGAAATAGCGACCTTGCGCGGCGGCTGACGCGGGCTGTTAGCGCGGCACACCACAGTGGAGACAAGGGCGGGCAGCTGTCGCGCCAATGCCGGCGCAGACGACCCCGTTGTTTGTTGCGTCGCCCACCTGGGGGCATTTCGATCTACCTGGAGTAGCCAAGGGGCTTCATGACTTCAGGTCGTAGGTCCACAGGCAGGTCGCGCTGAGGCAGATACTACAAGCCAGTCTCTCAGCATAGCGCGTTCGACGCGGCCAGCCGCAGTTTCCAATACATGACTTCCTAGATCGGCAGCAGAAGTAATCGAAAGTACCAAAGTGAACGTCGCTCACCCAGCCCGGCGTGTCATGACGTTGGCAACATATGCGCTGTCCTTTTGCCAGAGGGTATGGACGGCAACGAAGCATCGCAACGAGCTAGACAACTACCTCGACAGGTCACGACAAAAGCGAGAGCTGCGGTCAGTCCCATGCAAAACGATGGGAAGAGGAAGGCAAGACAAGGGGAGCAACAAGAACGACAGACCCAGGCCCCCCGACGTCAGGAATGTTTCACCGCTTCGACCCCCAGAGGCCTCGACACATTCCCTGGGGCCAGCACTTCACTCCGAGTCGCTCCTCCACGGCCCCGCGGACCGGCGAGGGCCCCCAGGCGCAGAAAAAGCACGCGAGGGGCTCCAGGAGAAGGGGGGCCGCAGCGCGTAAAGGGAAATTAGGACACACAAATAAATACACACAAATGAACATATTCCCCATATTTTCCCATATTTTCTGGGTTCTTGTCTTCCCCCCCACTTCCCATATTTTTGCATATTTCCTGGGAGTCGACGATTAATTGTGTCTGTGTGTTTCTTTTCCCCCTGAGCGCGGTGCGCGGGCGAGGAACAACGACGACTGGCGGCGGCCGCCTCGGCACGGAGCAGGTCCACGCCGGGGGCGTGCGCGGGCGAAGCGAGGGGCGAGCGGCGGCCGCGGGCGTCCGGCTCCGCCTGCGCGCGGTACGGCGGGCCGGCCTGCCCTGGTCGTCGTCGTCGTCGTCGTCGTCGTCGTCGTCGTCGTCGTCGTCGTCGTCGTCGTCGAGCAGACTCGCCCGAAGAGGAAGGGACAGAGGTGGGCCAGCAGGCACAAGCAGGGAGAGAGATAGAGAGAGAGAGAGAGAGAAAGACGTCCCACCCACCACCACGGCACCACATGCGGCACGGACACAGGCACAGAGCACAGGCCCGCGAAAATCCAGATGCCTGGGCGTGTCCTCCCCGAGGGGAAGTGGTGAGAGGCAGAGGGGAGCGGACAGCTGAGAGCTGAGGGAGCAGAGGGGAGGGAGGACAAGCGAAGACCGCGCCAGGAGCAGAAGCAGGAGCAGGAGCAGCAGGGGCGAGCTGGAGCGTGCGCAGCGGGCGGCAGGAGCAGCAGGAGCAGGAGCGGAACGAGGAGGAGGAGGCGGAGGAGGAGGAGCGGTGCACACCGCAAGCACGAGGCTGGAACCACCAGAAGAACCAGTATGGCGATGGCTATGCGAGCTGCGCGTTTTCAGCTGGCTACACCGACATTCCTGGCGAGCCACTGAGCAGTGCTTCACACCATCAACGCCAATCCCGGCCGGCCCCGGCGGCCCACACCGAAGATGCAGCCGTGACCAACAACACATCGACGCGTCATGCATCAGCGCGGTGTCATGCAAAGGCACGTGGCGCGGGCTCTGGGCACCTAAAGCTGCGTGGTTCCGCTCAACCTGCCAGCGTCGTCGGTGGGAACGCTCACGTGCCCGTGTTCGTGTTGCCGATCTTGTTGTCTTCTTCCGCTTCGCCCTCCTCGTCCTTGGCGGCGTCGGAGTTCATCGCGCTGGCGACCTCCTGGAAGATGAGCTCGTGGTCCCAGGTCTCGTCCTTTTCGAACACGAGCTTCTCGGAGCACAGGCACTGCATCAGGGGTGCCAGGTCCACGCCCTCTTCTGGGGTCGCGGGCAGCTGCGAGGCCTTCCCTGCGAGCGCGACGTCGAGCTCCCTGACACTGCGCACAGGCGCCATAATTGTCGGTGCGGCTGCTGGCGGCGCGGCGACCTGACGCGTGATGTCCTCCTCCGCCTCCTCCTCCAGGTCTGGGATGGTCGGGACGAGCTCGTTGTCGTCGTCGAAATGGCCCCGCTTGACCTCCTGGGCCGGTTGCGGCGACTCTGCAAAAGGTCGATGCGCCGGGGCACTACTGGCATCGTTGTCTGGCGCGTCGAAGCCCCAGCCGCCCGTCACCGCGCCGCGCGGCCGACCGCCAGGTGGGCCAGGACGGGCGCCGCTTCCTTCGTCAGGTCCGGCGTCGTCGGTAAACGCGCCCCGCCTTGCATTGGAGTCCCCCATCTCGACAGCTGCTGCGACCTCGACATCGTCCATCCCGGCAACTGCTCTGCTCAACAACTACACAAGAAGGAGCCCCCCAACCGGCCCCGAAGTTTCAGCAGCCTGTTTGAGCCAACATGGCTACGGAGAAACGAGATGGAGGAGGAGGAGTAGAGGAAGTACGCATCGCCGTCAGCACCCTCTACTCCTTCTCTTATTCCTTCTTCCTCCACGTTCAATCGCAGGGTCGTCCTCGCCGTCTCGTCGCTATCCCCCCCCGGGGGTCGCTGGCAGACCAGTCGTCCCGCACCCCGGAGGACCCTTCGATTTGCACCATCGGTCCCACGTGTTTCACCCTCGTTCGCTACTTAACAGCTAACTACCCGGTCTGATCAAACCCCCCCCCGCGGCGACGGCCGCTGGGGTGCGGGGGGATAGCAGCTTTCCTCATCAAACCCCAATGCCACCAGTTGGGTTCAGAAACGGCCTCTCGAGGCCAGCAGCGAGGGAAAACACGCCAGGAGTGCCACAAAACGGCCCGCCGACACCCTTCCCGCATGCTCGAGCTGAGACATATTGCAGAACACGACTGGGGGTCAGCGATAAAAGGGGGCACCGGCTCAGGGTGGGGGGGAAACGTTGACCTGGGATCCGAGATGCATCGTCGATAGATCAGCGACTGACCCCCGATGGTGAAGCCGCAGGTTCCTGGGCGGGGTGAGCTATCAGGCCCCTATCGCAGATAAGTAGACGATTGGGGGTCGATGCATCACCCCATGTAGGAAGGCACCAACTATACACCAACACCGATCCTGGCCAGGATCGGTGTTGGTGTATAGTTGGTGCCCTCCGACCATGAGCCTGTCCCAGCCTGACGCTGCCCCATAAATGGAACCCCCAACCACCCTGACCTAAGTTCCGGCGCGATTGCTTCGAGCCCACAGAGGAGGTCACCTTTCTGGCGACTCGGAAACATCACGCAAGAGGTCTCCGTGGTTCTCAGTGTCTGGGGGCCGCGTCTTGGCCCTCGGCGCCTTCATACAAGAGCTCGGGACGAGTCAGCGGCCCATGGGAAGGGGCCGAGATCTCCAGGGCCGACGAATTGACAAATCTGGGCGCGTCGTCTGTCCGATACCCTGACCCTGATTGGGCAGGGGACGCAGCGCACAGAAGGACACTCCATGATGCTGAGGGTACATTTTCATCGCGTGCGATGAACCAGTCCATTCGTGCAGACCTGGCTGGAGGATGTCAGCACGCCCGCACCATGTTGGCCGAGAGAGGACGTTCCTCCTTGAAGACCACAAAGAGTTGCAGTCCTCTTTGCCCTCATGCTCATCAATATCCTCCTCTTCCTCCTCCTCCGCCTCCTCCTCCTCCTCCTCCTCCTTTATTCCATTTCCTTATAAAGAACTTCTCCCTGGCGCACCCAGAGGTCAGTTTTTAGGTCGGGCCAGGCGTTTCGCCCGAGACTTCCTCACCACTTATGACCCTGAAGCCTCAACATTGACAACGGTTACACAAATTGAGGGCGGGTGGCTTTCAAAATGTGGCTCTCTCCACAGCGCCGCGCGCATTCGTCTTGAACATGCTCAGCTGGTTCACGGATTGAGGGCGGGTCGCTTTCAAAGTGCGGCCCTCGCCCCAGCGCCGCGCACATTCGTTCTAAAAGCTCAATCGGTTCACGGATTGAGGGCGGGTGATTTTCAAAATGTGGCTCTCGCCTTACCGCCGCGCACATTCGTTTTAAACATGTGCAACAGCTTCACGGACTGAGGGCGGGTCGTTTTCAAAGAGCGGCTCTCGCCCCAGCGCCGCGCACATGCGTTCAGCTTCTCGGATTGAGGGCGGGTGGTTTTCAAAATTTGGCTCGTGCCCTAGCGCCGCGCACATTCGCTTTCAAATTTTGCGAGAGTTCCACGGATTGAGAGCGGCTCCTTTTCAAAATGTAGCTCTCGCCTTAGCGCCTCTTCCTCCTCATCATCCTCCTCCTTTGAGAGCGCGTAGTGTTGTAGTCGCCCTTCCCCATCTCCTCCTCCTCCTCCACCTCCTCCTCCTCATCATCATCAGCATCATCATCATCAGCATCAGCATCACCATCATTACTATCATCAACAGCATCATCATCAACATCATCATCGTTATCATCACCATCATCACCATCAGCATCAGCATCAGCATCAGCATCAGCATCGTCAGCATCATCATCATCAGCAGCAGCAGCATCAGCATCATCAGCAGCAGCATCATCATCATCAACCTCAACATCATCATCATCATCATCATCATCATCATCATCATCATCATCATCATCATCATCATCATCATCATCATCATCATCATCTGCATCATCATCATCATCATCATCCTCATCATCATCATCATCATCATCATCATCATCATCATCATCATCATCATCATCATCATCACAGCATCATCATCATCATCGATGATGATGATGATCATCATCATCATCATCATCAGTATCATCAGCATCCTCCTCATCATCATCATCATCATCATCATCATCATCATCAACAGCATCATCGTTATCCTTCTCCTTCTCCTTCTCCTCTTCCGTCTCCTCCTCCTCCTCCTCCCTCCTCCTCCTCCTCCTCCTCCTCCTCCCTCCTCCTCCTCCCCCTCCCCCTCCTCCTCCTCCTCCCTCCTCCAATTGCCACGACAGCTCAATTTGAGGGTGCTGCTCAGGTCGAGCGCTCAAGCTCCGGCGACCAGGGGCGTCGCCAGCACGAGCGACCCCAACAAGCACGATGGAGTGCGAGATGCCTCCGCAGCCTGCCCTGCGCCTGGCCCCGAGGACCCCGGCGGCAGCTACGGTGTCGCCGGGGCTCTGCCGCCCAGCGACGCCAGCCAGCCAAAGGTGCAAACGTGTAAGGCGAGGCCAAGACGGCCAACGGCGCTCCGGAACGCTTTGAGAGCGCTCCGGGGCGCTCTGGAACGACCACAGACCCCCGACGTCGTGTCTTTTTCACAACGTCGACCCCCAGAGGTCTGGACCCCTTCCCTGGGACCGGTTTTTTATCCTGGAATCCTGAGTGGTTGTCTGACGGTCCCGAGGCCCAGCCAGGGCTCCTGGAAGCCCCATATAGCCAAAGACCTCCCGTCGTGACTTTTACGTAGCGTGAGGGGGCCCGGGACTGATCCCCAGTCCTGGCCCGCCCGCGTGTGGCCCGCTTGGCCGGCCACCCGCTCGCGGGTGCGGCGCGGCCAGCGGCCGAGGGCCGCGGCAGCGGCTCCGGCGGCCACGGCGAGCCCTGGCCGCCGCGCCGGGGCCCCGTTGGCGGCGGCGGTCTTGCGAGCGCCGTCGTCGGGGCGGGCAGGAGAGCGACGGGCCCCACCGGCCGCTGCGGCGCCAGCCGCGGGGAGCACCGCGCGCGCTGGGGGGGTGGCCGCCACGTCGAGCGGAGGCGTGCGCGGGAAGGCCTGCCGCCCCGCGGCCCGCGGCGGAGGGCGGGAGAGGCCCGCGCTTCCTCTGGGGGGCGGTGGGCGCGCCGCTGGGCCCTCGAGGGGCCCCTGGAGGGCCCCGTGCGGATCCAGCAGGGGCCCACAAGGGCCCCTTCCGGGCCCCTCTGGGGCCCTGCTCTCCCCCCCCATCCCATTGCCGCCGGCCCGAGGGGGGGGGGGGGGGGCAGCGGGCACCCCGGCCAGGGCCCAAAAGCAGCGGCGCCGCTCGGCGATTGAAGAGATGGACGGGGGTGCAGGGCCGCAGCCTCGATGCGAGAGGCGCTCCCACAGGCGCCTGGGCGCGTGGGCGCCCAGTGGCTGCTCCCGGGCGTGGGACCGTGGTCGTGGGCACCGGGAGACTGGCCCATGGACTCCAGGAGGCTGCTCCTGGCTGTGCGCCTGGTCGTGGGCCTGGTGAGCCTGGTCGCGCGAGCCCGTGCCGGGGCCCGCTCCGTGCAGTCCTGGCGCGGCACGGCCGCCTGCTGCCGTGCCTGCCGGGCTGGCCGAGGGGCCGTCGCGGTGCTGCGGGCAGGCCTCCGCGTGGACGTCCCGCCCTGGCGAGGCCACAGGCTCCTGGGGCTGCACGGTGCCCCTTCGCTTGTTCTCCCGCTGCTTTCATGTGTTAGCGCTCTCTTCCCCCCGCTCCCCCCTCCCTCCCTGCATCTGCCGTCCCCCCTTGCCACCGTTCCTTTGTTTTCCGATTATGTTCTTGCCTTTCCAGTCCTTGCCCGTCCTTTTTTTTTGTCTCTCTCTCTCTCTCTCTCTCTATATATATATAAACATACCTATACGACCACCCTGCGGGTGATAAGGAGTTGGGGGGGCAGCAATGGGCAAAAGTGGTGATTGTTGTTCTGACGATGCCTGTGGGGCGGAGTCTAGTAGTAAGTAGTGTGATTGTGCACGGGGTCTGGCCGCGGCCCAGCCACAGGAAGATTTCGGGACACCAGCGGGACACCGCGGGCCACTGGCCGCCGGAGGATAAAGATTTGGTCCGGCCGCGGCCCAGCCACAGGATGATTTCGGGACACCGGCGGAACACCGGCGGGACACCGCAGGCCACCGGCCGCCGGAGGAGAAACATTTGGTCCGGCCGCGGCCCAGCCACAGCAGGATTTCCTCTCGCCCGCCCACGCAGCTTCGCCTCGCCCGCACGCACGCACGGCACGCACGAGACGAACCCGAAACCGAAATCGATTTCCCGGTAGGGGGGGTCTCCGTTTCACGTCGGTCTCACCCCCCAACCTCCGATATATACAAAACTATATTCCCCGATCAGAGCTTGCCTCTGTAGGGGTTCGGATTCATATGGTTAGGTTAGCTACGCCGCCGAGTTTGGCGGCCCGCCTGGGTGCCTGGGTGCCCGGGAGCTGCGTCGCCGATTTCGGCGGCCCGCCCGGGTGCCCGGGTGTCCCATAGCCCTATAGCCCTATAGCCATACAGCCCTATAGCCCTATAGCCTTGTAAAGCCCTATAGCTCAATAGCCCAATCATCCTACTGCCCTATAGCCCTATAGCCCTATCGCCCTATAGCCCTATAGGCCTCTAGCCCTCTGGCCCTCTAGCCCTCTAGCCCTCTTGCCCTCTAGCCCTCTAGCCCTCCAGCCCTCTAGCCCTATAGCCCTATAGCCCCATAGCCCAATAGCCCAAAAGCCATATCGCCTTATAGCCCAGTAACCCTATAGCCCTATAACCCTATAGCCCTAACCCTATAGCCAAACAGCCCAATAGCCCTATATCCCTCTAGCCCTGTAGCCCCAGAGCCCCCTAGCCCATACAGCCCTATAGCCCCACAGCCCCAAAAAAGCTTCTGATTGGAACTTCTCTCTGGTATCATTTTACATACACATATATGAGCGAGGGGGCCGAACGGTCATTCACTGTCCCTGGGCGCGTGGCTGAAGTGGGGTTCCACGGTGCGGACTGTTGTTGTGTTGTGGTAGTTGCGTGGCCGAGTTTTCATTCTTAAAGAATAACGAATGTTGATCCCCCCTATCTGGTGCCCAGGACGTTTGTTCAATTAAAATGCTCCTCCCGGCGCTCGCATCCTGTGTTCATACGGGATGGCCCCCAGTTTACCACAACTGCGGCTCCCGCCTGATACATCAGCGCAGTTTATTCAAAATCGCGATCTCGCGCGGGACTTCCTCGCAAAGCATCCAAGAATCGCGCTCTCGCGTGGCACTTCCTTGCAAGTGATTTAAACGCCGCGCCTTCGACTCTCAGGAATCACCCTCTTCTGGACTTCCCCACGATTCACTTGGGATTCGCGCTATCGCTCGAAACTTCCTTGCGATTTATGCTGGATTGACGCTTCAGCGACCCGCCCGCTCGACCTGGCCGTCTGGGCCCGCCCGTCCGACCCGCTGGTTAGGGTCCGCCCTCCCGACCCGCCCGTGTGGTACTGCCGCGTGCACTCCTGCTCTTAACCCCCTCCTGCAAATCTCTCTCGTGCTCTTTCCCTCTGCCTCCCCCGTGTCTCTTCCCTCCTCCCTCCACTTCCCCCGTTTCAAGGGCTGCGCCGACTACACGTGACAGGTAAGGAAGATATACCCCCCAAAAGGGGTACGATCGAAGACGAAGAGGGTGGGTATCGAGGCGTTTGGGAGATATGTATGTATATATATATATAGATATGTTGAGTGACACGCGAGCGTATGATAACGAACAATGCAACATGATTGCTGTTATTGCCGTGTTGCTGTTATCGCCGTCCTCGCCTGCGGCCCGCCCGCAACCCTCCCCGCGACTCACCCCGCAACCCACCCCGTGACCCACCCGCGACCCACCCGCGACCCACTCGCATTGCTTTGACGAGAGTTCGGCGCCTGCAGCGAGCTCGCTGTGCATTGTGTTAGAAACTCGGCGCCTGCGGCGGGCTTCTTCAAAGCCTCGCAGATTGCCGCCGACGCCGCCCCCTCGTCACTCTTATCCGCAAACGCGGACTGCTACGGATAAATACGTAGCACCCCGCAGTTGCGGGTACCAGTGAGGGGGAGGGCGAGGGGTGGGTCGCGGCTGGGTCGCGGTGAGTCGCAGGGGTCGCGGATGAGGACGACGACAATCACAATACGAACAACAAGAACAGTAAAACAAGAACAATAATAAGAAGAAGAAACAGAAGAACAGCAACAATCACGTTAAGACTGTTCGCTTTTACTGGCACGCGTGTCTTGCATTCTCCATACCCCAACCCTCGATACCCGCCCACTTCGTCTTCGATCGCACCACCTTCGGGGGGGGGAATATCTTCCCTGTCGGCCACTGGCTGAAATGCGAAGAACTCTCGAGAGCTAGCGCCGTTCCTGAGTTCGGGGGCCTCTCTGGCCAGGGTCCCTCGGAATACATATTGAGAAAGATCGGACGGGAACCCTTGTCGCCGTGGCTGGGCCTCCACCAAATTGCTTGAAATACGAGATAGTCTCGATCGGTAAAGCCACTCTTGAGTTCGGGGGCCTCTGGCAATGGCCTCTGCGAGTACATCTTGAGGAAGTATCGAACGTGGGCCCTTGTCGTCGCAGTTGGGCCTCCACCAATTTGACTGAATCACGAAAAATGTTTGAGCGAGAGCGCCGTTCCTGAGTTCGGAGGCCTTCCTGGCCAGCAGCTCTCGGAGTAAATCGTGAGGAAGTATCGAGCAGGAACCCTTGTCGTCGTGGCTGGGCCTCAACCATCCTGACTGAGTTGCGAGGAAGTCTCCAGCGAGAGCGCCGTTCCTGAGTTCGGGGGCCTCTTTGGCCAGGGTGTCTCGGGGTAAATTGTGAGGAAGTGTCGAGCGGGAGCCGTTGTCGTCGTAGCGGGGCCTCCAAGGACCCACTCTTACACTCAAGCCAACGCTCGCGCGGGAGCCTCGTTCTCAGAGAACAAGTAGCCAGCGTCGAGGCGAGAGCGCGCGGAACAGTTTCCTGAGGTCAACAATAACAATTCTCTAGAGATGAATGTCCAACAGGAGCAGCAGCAGCAGCAACAACAACAGCAACCACCACCACCACAACACCATCAACAACGACAACGACAACGACAACGACAACAACAACGACAGCAGCAGCGACAACAACAATATTCATGGCAACGAAATCGCACTTCAGCCACGCCGCGGCCTCGCCTCCTCCATCCCCCGTCCTCCACTATCATCTTCATACTTCGAGAGCATCCAGTGTTGCTTCTCCTCGTCCTCATCCCCGTCTCCATATTCAGCCATCTCCTGCGTCTCCTCATTCTCCCTCCCTCTCTTCATCATCTTCCTCCTCCCCCTGCCGCCCCTCCTTCTCCGAGACCACCCCGTCGCTGCAGCCACCCTCCTCCTCCTCCCGAGCCCATCGCGACAACGTCAAGGGCTGCCGACACGCCTCTCGGCTGGCGTCGCCGACGGCGCGCACTAGGGCCCTCGGGAGGCGCAAAAGCGCTGCCCCGCGGCCACCGTGCGCGCGCCGCCCCCCCGGGGCGGGCTCAGCTGGACTGGTCGGCGTTGGGGTCCTCGAGGGCGGGGCACGCGAGGGGGGGGACGCGGGAGGGGCAGGCGCGGGGGCCCAAAGAATGCACACCACCACCACGTCCATTCCTCCTCTCTCCTCGCTCCAGCGAGAGGGAGGGGGGGAGGGAGGTGGTGGTGGTGTAGATGTTCGGGCCCCCCAAGGCGGAGAGGAGGAGAGGCAGGCGGAGGCGCAGGATTCCAACCCCGTGCGAGGATCCAGTGGCGTTTCTGCACCCACCCCGCCCCCTTACAGTCGGCCCGTAGCATAAGGAAATGCGCGGTAAGGATGCAAGGGCATTAGAAGGCCAGCTCGAAGCTCTTCGGGCGGGGCGCGGCCAACGAAAGTGGCCAGGGATGGACCGAGGAGGCAAGGGTGCAAGGGTACCGATGGGAAGGCTGCCCATCCTTCTGATGCGGGTTGACTGCATTCCAATGTTGATCGAGTGACCGGAGGGAGTCGGAAGACAGGTTGGTGGTGCACTGGGCAGCGACACTGGGGGGGCGGAGAGGGGGGTCACGGGGGAGGTAGGACGGTGGTCTGCCTCGGTGGAGGCAGGGCCGAGAGGAGAGAAAGGCAAACGAGGGGGCGGCCGCGCATCACGCGAGCCAGTCTTACCAGGGAGCAGGGCGCGGGAGGGGGCGAAAGATAAGTTGGAGGAGGATGAGACACAGGAGGATGGATAGAGAGAGAGAGAGAGGTGGAAGAAGAGGGCGGGGAGATCAGGGAGGGGAGGAGATTGTGGAGGGGACGGGAGGGGACAGGCTGGAGGGAAGTAGTCCTGGATGACGATCAGAATGTACTCTTTGTCTGGCGCGATCATGATCTCGTGCTTCTTGGACCTAATCCGGAGGAACGTCAGGTCGTTCTGGGGGTCCAGGTCGCGCACGACACTCCTGGCCTTGGCGCTGAGCTGGGAGATCAGCGCTGAGTACTGCAGCGTCTGCTTGCTCTCGAGCGTCGACCGGATCGGGACGCCCTCGCTGTTAACGATGACGATGCCAGATACACCCTTGTGGGTCTTGATGCGGTTGAGGGTCTCCTCGACCTCGGACATCGATGCGGAGACGTCGCCACGGGTGCGCGCGGCTCGGGTGCAGGCGCTCTCGTGCCTTCTTGAATACCACTGGGAGTTCTCCCTTCAGCCAGAGTGCCTCTGAAACGGGAGCCAATGAGCCTTCACCAATATCCCTTTGGCCGTCGCGGACGAGAGTGGCGATGGCGATGCAACCCCCTCCCTCTCATTCATCTGATGCCGTCCTCCTCCTCCGCCTCCTGCTACGAAAAAATGAAGCTGCAGCCGGCAACGCTACTGCAGAGAGTCTGGGTGATGCGGGGATGCAATACAGTAAAGCGCATAGCAAGGATGAGCAAGTGTCCCAGGTTACCCTTGCACCCTGCCCGCCCCAGTCAGGGCCCCTTCGGTTCATCCTTGGCCAATGTTCGTTGGTCGCGCCCCGCTCGGAAGGTGCTGCCATGCCCTTCAAGGGCCCTTGCACCCTTACCGTACATCCTTATTGTACACGTTTGACTGTAGACCAGTACTACAAGCGTGCAGCCCACCCGCCCAGCCCAACCCTGGCAGGCAACCTAGAGCGCGAGCGACAGATGCTGGGAAAAGCCCCCGACGCCTAGGGGACCCTCCTGCTTCATTCCCCCCTTTTCGCCGCTCCCCCGCACGTCCGCACAGTTTTGTTCATTGCTCCCCTCCCTTAGGCGTCCATCCGATCCTAACCACTCCCTCCCTCCGCCATTCCTTTTCCCTGATGAGTCCGCCCCCGCAAACCTTTCCATCATGCGCTGGCGCCGCCGCCCCCAGTCCCCCTTACTCCTCCATCTCTTCGCGCTCCTCCTGCCCGCCTCGTTTCCCTTCCACGCTCACCATGCAAAGCCTGGAAATATCGAGCGGGGGCGTTGTTATGATGGGGAGGCTGGTTTGCGGCGCCAAGGCGTTAACACCACTTCTGAGGGAAAAGCCAGGAAGTATCGAGCGGGAGCGCTGGTTTCATTTGAGGGCCAGCTTTCCGCGGCGAACACAATGGCGCAGGTCCGTCATGCAAACGGAAGATATATTGAACGGGAGCACTGGTTTGAATGGAGGGTCCGCTTTGAAAGCGCCAGTCCTCCGGTAAAAACAAAAATTGGCCCGACGAAGGACCCAACCATATGCAGGTGTGCGTACCGCAATTGTGCTTCACTTTTTCGGTGGTGATTCGTACGAGACAACGAACCGTGCTAGGGGTGTGCCGACATGAATGGCGTGGTACACAACGCGAACGAAAACGATTGATCCGAGTACGTAGGGAGGTCGCGGGTGAATATGAGCGCGAGTGCGTCTGACTGTGAATGAATATGCGTGCGAGCGAGTCGACGTGCATGGTGCACTTGTATATGAGCATCAATAGTTTGAGAACGACTGCCTCTGAGCACTCGCGACGCTGGGCGTGGCCGCCGCAAGGAGCTTCCCCAGGACTCCCCGACAGCGTCGCCCGCGCGCCGCGACGCCATTGTCGACGCGCCCCCCCGCGAGGATCGCGCCCGCCCCCCCCCCCACCCCCCGTCTTTTACTCCCCCTTCGCCCGCGCACCCAAAAGTCCAAGGCTGCGGGCGCAGCGCAGCGCGGAGTCCCCGCGACGCGCGCAGGTCGCCCCAGAGGGGTCCCAGCGACGCGCGCGGGTCGTCCGCTGCGCGGAGCAAAAAGAGCTAGCGGGCAAGGCTCTTGCCGCTGGGCGGAGCGACGACGGGCGAGCGAGGCGCTGGGCAGAACGCAGCACGGAGTTCCTGCGACGCGCGCTGGTCGCCCCGGAGGGGTCCCAGCGACGCGCGCGGGTCGTCCGCGGCGCGGAGCAAAAAGAGCTAGCTGGCTGGCCGATAGCGGGCAAGGCTATTGCCGCTGGGCAGAGCGACGACGGGCGAGCGAGGCGCTGGGCAGAATGCAGCGCGGAGTTCCTGCGACGCGCGCTGGTCGCCCCGAGAGGATCCCAGCGACGCGCGCGGGTCGTCCGCGGCGCGAGGCCAAACAATTAGTCAGACCGTCGAGAGACGGCGTGGCTCGGGCGGGCCGCTCCTCAGATCAAGCCTCGCGGATAAACTCGGTGAAGCCCAGCTCCCTGGCGAGGGCCGTCGCCTCCCTCCTGCACCGCTTCGTGCGCGCAGCAAACTGCTCCAGCTGTTTCCGCAAGCCCTCCGGCGGCCCTGCCAGGAAGAACTCGATGCGCGGCGGACTGCGCCACGGGGCCCTTCGGTGGAGCTCCCTATGGGGCCACGAAGCGCTGTAGTAGGTGAGGGAGACGCATGCGGACTGCGCCACAGGGACCTTCGGTGGGGCTCCATATGGGGCCAAGAAACACTGTACTGGGTGAGGGAGACGCATGCGGACTGCGCCACGGGGACCTTCGGTGGAGTTCCGTATGGGGCCACGAAACGTGTGAGGGGTGTGCCGAAATGAGTGGCGGGGACTCATGCGAACTGTGCCACTGGGACCTTCGGCGGAACTCCCTATGGGGCCACGAAACGTGTGAGGGGTGTGCCGAAATGAATGGCGGGGACGCGTGCGGACTGTGCCACGGGGGCCTTCGGCGGAGTTCCCTATGGGGCCACGAAACGTGTGAAGGGTGGGCGAAATGGTGGGGACGCATGCGAAATGCGCCACTGGGACATTCGGCGGAGCCACGAAACGTGTGAGGGGTGGGCCGAAATGGGTGGCTGGGACGCGTGCGGACTTTGCCACGGGGACCTTCGGCGGAACTCCTATGGGGCCACGAAACGTGTGACGGTCGGCCGAAATGAGTGGCGGGACGCGTGCGAACTGTGCCACTGGGACCTTCGGCGGAGTTCCCTATGGGGCCACGAAACGTGTGAGAGGTGGGCCGAATTGAATGGCGGGGACGCATGCGGACTGTGCCACTGGGACCTTCGGCGGAGCTCCTATGGAGCCACGAAGCGTGTGAGGGGTGTGCCGAAATGGGTGGCGGGGACGCATGCGAACTGTGCCACTGGGACCTTCGGCGGACCTCCTACGGGGCCACGAAACGTGTGAGGGGGGTGCCGACAGGAGTGGCGGGGACGCAGGCGAACTGTGCCACTGGGACCTTCGGCAGAGCCCCCATGGGGCCACGAAGCGTGTGAGGGGTGGGCCGCAATGAATGGCGGGGGCGCATGCGAACTGTGCTCGGCGGAGCTCCGATGGGGCCACGAAGCGTGTGAGAGGTGGGCTGCAATGAGTCGCGGGGACGCATGCGATCTGTGCCACTCGGACCTTCGGGGGAGCTCCTATGGGGCCACGAAGCGTGTGAGGGGTGGGCCGAAATGAGTGGCGGGGACGCATGCGAACTGTGCCACTAGGACCTTCGGCGTAGTCCCTATGGGGCCAAGAAACGTGTGAGGGGTGTGCCGAAATGAGTGGCGGGGACGCATGCGGACTGTGCCACTACGACCTTCGGCGGAGCTCCTACGGGGCCAAAAAACATGTGAGGGGTGGGCCGAAATGAGTGGCGGGTCCGCAGGCGAACTGTGCCACTCGGACCTTCGGCGGACCTCCTACGGGGCCACGTAACGTGTGAGGGGGGTGCCGAAATGAGTGGCGGGGACGCATGCGAACTGTGCCACAAGGACCTTCGGCGGAGCTCCTATGGGGTCAAGAAACGTGTGAGGGGTGTGCCGAAATGAGTGGCGGGGACGCATGCGAACTGCGCCACTGGGACCTTCAGCAGAGCTCTTCCTATGGAGCCACGAAGCGTGCGGGGGGTGGTGGAGGAGGGAGTAGAGGGATGAGTGGGTAGAGGGAGAAGGGGGGGAGAAGGAGGAGGAGGAAACGCGGGGATCGTCTCTTCAAAACGAAGACCCAACAGCACAGGATGGTTTGGAAAAATAACGACTGGGAGCGTCGTTGTTGTAACGGTGGGATGTTTGTGGCGCCGACGTGAAAGCGCCCATCCTGAATATCGAGCGGGGGCGTCGTTGTTTGTAGGGGGTCTGGTTGCGGCACCGAGGCGGGAGCGCCGGTCCTGAGTACAAAGCAGGGAATTATCGAGCGGGCGCGCCTGTTTTGCTGGACAGGCGGCTTCCCGGCGGCGAGCAAGAGCCCCGGTTCTGAGTACAGAAGAAAGAAATATCGAGCTGGAGCGTTGTTGTTGTTGGGGGGCGGTAACCCCGAAACGCCTGAGCGTGAGCCGAATGTTCAAAAGAAATGCAGCCGACGCTTAGGTGAGAGCGCCACAACGCCTCTAGGGTGCCCAACTACAAAAAGTGTCTGCGAATTAAGACTCAACAACAACAACAACAACAACAGCAGCAGCAGCAGCAACAACAACAACAACAACAACAACAACAACAACAACAACAACAACAACAACAACAAGCAACAATAAGTTTAAGACTGCTCGCTCTCATCTGCTCGCGGGCCGCTCAACACGTGTATCCCAAGCCCTCGATACCCGCTCTCTCCGTCTTCGATCGTACCCCCTTGGGGGTGCAATGCTTATTTCGTGTAGCCCCCAAGGCAAGAGAGAACAAAACGGATGGAAGGAAGGGGCAAGGGGGAAGGAGGAGGATGGAGCACGAGAGACAGAGAGTAGCAGGAGGGAGGCTAAAAGCAGAAAGCACGCGGCCGAACCAGACGGGCAGATCGGGCGGGTACACCTCAACAGGCGGGTCGGGAAGGGGCGCCCAGGCGCCCAGATCGACCAAACGGGTTGCTGACACGTGCGTCGTGCATGAACCGCGATGAAGTCTCAAACGACAGCGCGATGCCCAAGTAAATCGTGAGGAAATATACAACGAGAGCGTGGTTCCTGGGTGTCAGAAGCGCGGCGCGGCGTCTGCATACATTGCGACGAAGCCCGACGCGACAGCGCGATTCCTTTTTCTAAAGTATGTGGAACACCCGAGCTAGAACGCGACTTGGAAATGAATTCTGGAGAAGTATCAGGCGAGAGCCCCTGTAGTTGTAAACTGGGGGCCAGAAACATAATTCTGAGACCCAAGACCTTCCCTGAGAAAATAACAGGGCGCGAACCCCGGGAGGGGCATTTCAAATGAAAAAGCACCATGTGCCCCGGAAAGGTGATCAATCATACTTATTATTCAGTCGTGCATGTTCTACAACAGTTACGCGACCGAGGAACCCCACATACTTATAGTATGGCTGGAGTGATGATACCTGAAGCATGTGAGAATTATGTTCGTGGCCGTTGCCCCACCGATACCGTTGGTGACGCCAGTCAAGAGGAAAGGAGAGAGGAGATTGGAGAGGAGAAGCGCCGCGCCCGCCACACTTGGCGAGCCCGAAACGGATAGAGACTGCACCCCCAAGGCCCCCCCTGTGACATCGAAGAAGCGCAGCGCCTGCCACGCCAGCGCAACCCCTGCGGCGCCGAGGAAGTGTCACGCCTGCCGCGCTGTGGGGGCACGAAACGGATAGCGACCGCACCCCCAACACACTCCCTTCGGCGTCGAGAAGTTGCCGCGCCTGTCACGCGTTGCGAGCCCGAAACGGATAGCGACCGCACCCCCAGCGCACCTCCTGTGCCGTTGAGAACGTGCCACGCCTGCCACACGTTGCGAGGCCGAAGCGGATAGCGACCGCAACCCCAACGCAACCCCTGTGCCATCAAGAAAGTGCCACGCCTGCCACACGTTGCGAGCCCGAAACGGATAGCGGCCGCGCCCCCAGCGCACTCCCTGTGGCTGCCACGCCAGCCACGCGCTGCGAGCCCGAAACGGTTACCGACCGCACCCCCAGCGCACCCCCTATGGTGTCCGAAAGGTGCCACGCCTGCCAGGCTTTGCGGCAGTGTCGTGGATAGCGGCCGCGCTGGGAGAACACCCCCTGCGCACCCCCATATGGTGTCCAGAAGGCGCCACGCCTGCTAGGCTTTGCGACAGTGTCGTGGATAGCGGGCGCGCTGACAGACCATACCCTGCGCACCCCCTTATGGTGTTCAGAAAATGCCGCGCCTGCTCGGCTTTGCGGCAGTGTCGTGGATAGCGGCCGCGCTGAAGGACCATCCCCTGCGCACCACCTATGGCGTTCAGAAAGTGCAGCGCTTGCTAGGGTTTGCGGCAGTGTCGTGGATAGCGGCCGCGCTGGAGACCACCCCCTGCGCACCCCCTATGGGGTCCAGAAGGTGCCACGCCTGCTCGGCTTTGCGACAGTGTCGTGGATAGCGGCCGCGCTGAAAGACCATCCCCTGCGCACCCTCTATGGTGTTCAGAAAGTGCCGCCGCGCCTGCCAGACTTTGCGGCAGTGTCGTGGATAGCGGCCGCGCTGAGAGAACACCCCCTGCGCCCCCCCGTATGGTGTCCAGAAAGTGCCGCGCCTGCCAGGCTTTGCGGCAGTGTCGTGGATAGCGGCCGCGCTGAGAGACCACCCCCTGCGTACCCCCTATGGGGTCCAGAATGTGCAGCGATTGCTAGGCTTTGCGGCAGTGTCGTGGATAGCGGCCGCGCTGAAGGACCACCCCCTGCGCAGCCTCTATGGTGTCCAGAAGGTGCCAAGCCTGCTAGGCTTTGCGGCAGTGTCGTGGATAGCGGCCGCGCTGACAGAACACCCCCTGCGCACCCCCTTATTGTGTTCAGAAGATGCCGCGCCTGCTCGGCTTTGCGACAGTGTCGTGGATAGCGGCCGCGCTGAGAGACCACCCCCTGCGCACCCCCTTATGGGGTCCAGAAAGTGCAGCGCTTGCTAGGCTTTGCGGCAGTGTCGTGGATAGCGGCCGCGCTGGGAGACCACCCCCTGCGCACCCCCTATGGGGTCCAGAAGGTGCCACGCCTGCTAGGCTTTGCGACAGTGTCGTGGATAGCGGCCGCGCTGAGAGAACACTCCCTGCGCACCCCCTATGGTGTGCAGAAGGTGCCAAGCCTGCTAGGCTTTGCGGCAGTGTCGTGGATAGCGGCCGCGCTGAGAGAACACCCCCTGCGCACCCCCGTATGGTGTCCAGAAAGTGCCGCGCCTGCTAGGCTTTGCGACAGTGTCGTGGATAGCGGCCACCCCCCATGGTGTGTCCAAAAGGTGCCACGCCTGCTCGGCTTTGCGACAGTGTCGTGGATAGCGGCCGCGCTGAGAGACCGCACCCTGCGCACCCCCTATGGTGTCCAGACAGTGCCACGCCTGCTAGGCTTTGCGACAGTGTCGTGGATAGCGGCCGCGCTCAGAGACCACCTGCTGCGTACCCCCTGTGGTGTCCAGAGGTGCTGTGCTGTGCTGTGCTATGCTGTGCTGTGCTGAACTGTGCTGTGCTGAGGTGCTGTGTTGTGCTGTGATGTGCCGTGCTGTGCTGTGCTGAGCTGTTCTGTGCTGAGATGCGCTGTGCTGTGCTGTGCTGTGCTGAGCTGAACTGTGCTGAGCGGTGCTGTGCTTTGCTGTGTACGTGCTGTGTGTCAATATGCTGTGTGCTGTGCTGTGCTGAGCCGTGCTGTGCTGTGCTGTGCTGCGCTGCGCTGTGCTGCGCTGCGCTGTGCTGCGCTGTGCTGTGCGAGAAGGAGAAGGAGAAGGAGAAGGAGGAGGAGGAGGAGGAGGAGGAGGAGGGGAAGTGAGTGAGCCTCGCGGGTGCGACGCGGCAGGGAAGAAAACCATAACCCCATGAAACATGTCCGGAACACCAACAACAACAACAACAACAACAACAACAACAACAACAGCAACAATACCAACAACAACAACAACAGCAACAACAACAAAGAAGGGCGAGAGCGCCCACCCCGTGCACGCAGGCAGTGTCCAGCCCGAGCAGTTCCCCCAGCAGGACCGACTTGCCCGCCTGGCCGCCGCGGAGCGGGCAGCAGGGAAGACGGGCGAGGGAAAAGATATAACGATCGGGGATGCCAGTTCGAAGAGACACGGGAAACACTCCGTCTGCACCCGGGCGGAAACGGAGCAGGAGGAGTCGGAGATAGGGGGGGGGCAGAAGACGGAGAAGCAGAAGAGGAGAAAGAGGAGGGGAAGCGCGCACAAGCTTGGCTTCGCGGCCAAGCGTGTTCAAGCATCTATGAGGCACGGGGGCGTTGTCGGAAGGCCTCCGGAGTGCCCCCGACGCCGGGGAAGGGCAAGGGTACCTTCTTCGCACCAGTGTGGAGGCGGAGCAGGAGGAGCTGGAGATGGGGTGGGGCGGGAAAAGGAGAAGGGGAAAAGGAAAAAGACGAGGGGGAGGCGCGCAGAAGCTCGGCTCTGCGGCCGATTGTCTTCGAGCATCTATGAGGGATGGTGGCGTTTTCGGAAAGCCTTCGGATTTCCCCCAGCGTTGGGGACGGGCTGTTTTCACCTCGGTGGAAGCCGAGCAGGAGGAGGTGGAGACTGGGGGGAGGCGGGAGAAGGAGGAGGAGACGTCAGGAGAAGGCGTCCTTCAACTCCAGGACGGGCACACCAAGAATGAAGAGGGGGACGGAGGAGGGGGAGGCGTGCATAAGCTGCCCTTCTTGCGGCCGACCGCTGTTTCAAGTGCGCATGATTCGTGAAGGGTCTCTTCGGCGTTCGATTGTCACCTCCACGTTTCTGGAGACCTTCGAATGGCCCCCCGATGCGGGGAGAGGGCGACGTGGATACAGTACGATACGACACACTTACGATCCGCTTGCTGTCTGACTTTCTACACAAAGAGAAGCGATTCCTGGAATTTACAGTAGAATTTGGAAATGTGTTCACTACTGTGAGCGACTGTCTAAGTCGCTCTGCAGGGGGATGCCTTTGGCCCAACCCGGGGAACCTGGGAGCCTCGGCACAGAGCGCACCACCGATGCCGCAATGCGCCCTCACGACCAGAGAGCCCCCTGCCCATAGAACAGGACAAGCACGTCGTCATGATGCGGTTGGCTCAGGATGCGCTCCAGGAGTTCCAAATAATCTAGCGGCCCTCATTCCTGCAGCCCGCGTGGAACATCTGGAAGGCTCAGAATCCTGGAAGACTTGGAACTAATCATTATCTTGACCTCTTGCTCGTGTGACATGGTGGGAGCAGAAGTAATCATAAACAACCACTGTTGGAGTTCCGAGCGGCTCTCTTGGATCGGCGCTGGACCCCCCAGGCGGCGCCTCCGGCCCCACTCCCTGGTGCGCACCAGGAAGGAGGGCCCAGCGCCGATCCAAGAAATGCGCGCTGAGCTCCACATGTCTGTGTCTATGCTCGTTTATGTTCCTCGCCATGCAGTAGGAGCTCGACCACAAGAAACCTCCCACAACAAACCCAACCCTGAGACCCCAGGACGTCCATTCATGTTTGGTGTGGGAGCGTCACGCTCTCCAAAGGAAACCCATCGAAACCCAAGAAACCCATGGCACCCTGGAGGCAAGCAGGGTGTTTCTGTTCCACTGTATGCTCGTTTTTTGCTCCTCTCCAGAGGGCCATTGCCGATCGCCCCTCGAGCCGCGATAGGCACACGGGCACCCCGCCGAAGGGGGGAGGCCGGACCCCGTGGGCATGCCACGTGGAAGACAGCGGACATGTAGGCACTGTGGGCGCCCGTGGCCAGAGCCCGTGGGCCTGCAAGGTGAAAGCCCGTGGCCTGCAAGGTGAAAGCCCGTGGGCACCCGCATCGGAGTGCGCACCAGCGGTCATCTTCAGATTCGTCCACAGCATGGCGCTGCAAGCTACCCTCCGTGGACCCAGACCTCCGCCGATGTGAGCTGTTCAATATGGTTGTTCTTCCTCGATCTCCGTTTCTGGGGCCCGTCATTGTGCACCTGGACCATCAGAAATGGATCCAGGACGAAGAACAAGCCCTAAGCAAGGGGTCGGGACCTCTGGGGCCGCGCATTGGAGAGAAAAAAAAACATCGTCGGATGTCGGGGAACACATAGGGCAAACTTCAAAAATTGTGCGCGGCGTCAGAATTCGAATACCACCAACCATATTTGAAGCTGCCAGAGATTTCAAGCCGAACGTGCGCACGGCGAGAGCGTGATGTTGGAAAGCGACCGTTCTCCATCCGTGTGACCTGCTGCACGTTTCTTCAACCTCGCTGGTCCCAGTACAAAGGCGGTACAGGGCCTGATGCGACAGCAAGATTGTTGGAAAGAGGGCCGTCGTTGGACATAGACAGGAAGACGACCATCTGGTGGAAAGATAGAGGGAGGAGTACGGCATGGAGAAAGCGGCGGAGAGGGAAAACATGGAGGGTAATAGCGCCTTCGCTGCCAGCCACTGGTGCCACGCCTGTGCCACACACACACACACACACTTTTGATCTGCGGGGCGAGAGCGAACCTCTTCCGCTAAAACCTAGGCGGGCTACGCACAGCTTTACTTAGGGAGACAGGGCACAGGAAGGCGGGGCCTCAGGCGGCCGGAGCGGGCGGCCTGTGCCACACACACACACACACACACACCTGCCATGGACGGCGGGCCTGCCTCCATCGCCACCGGTCGGGCCGGGGCCCGCTGCCAGAACTCATCGCACTCCGTCTGCCCAGTGGTGCGGTGCTCGCCCGAGAACCTGGTGCTGCCGAAAAGGAAAGCTTTTCCGTCGGCGGCGAGGCAGAGGCAGTCCGCTCCAGCGTGTGGCTATTCGCGGCAACGGACATGAGAATTGTCCGGCGTGCAAGAGGAAGGAAGGAAGCCGAGGGCGGCCGCGCCGGGGGAGGAGGAGGGGGAAGCGTTCAGACGTAGAAGAGTTTCGCGCAGAGCAGGCCGGAGCGGCCAGCCGAGGCAGCGGGGACCGTGGCAGCAGCCAGGGCCGAGCCCAGGACGCACCCACCGAAAAGGTAAACAGTCCGCGCTGCAGGGGTCGGGCCGGGCGAAAGGAGGGGATTGGGAAAGGGGGGGTTACGAAATCTGCTGCATGCAGCTGTTTTCGGCCCAGCCGCCGGGCCCATTCCTCGATACATGGGCGCCTTCTGGCGCCGGGAGGCGCCGGGAAAATCAGCTGCGTGAGCTGATTCTCAAACCCCCCCTTTGCTATCCCCCCCTTTCGCCCGACCCGAAGGGGGGCCGCGGCGATGGCCCGCGGTGGAACTGGCAGGGGGCACCGCCGCACTGCGCAGTGCAAACTCGCCCAGGACCAAACGTCACCGAACTTCGCGCGTCGCGCCCCCGGGGGGAGGAGGAGGAGCAGGGGGACGAGGAGGAGGAGGAGGAGGAGGAGGAGGGGGAGGAGGAGGAGGAGGAGGAGGAGGAGGGGGAGGAGGAGGAGGAGGAGGAGGAGGAGGAGGAGGAGGACGACGAGAATGCGCGACACGAGGTTGTCTTCGCAGCCTCGCGCCGACACACTTGGAGAGGGGTAGCGCTGCGGCCCGGACCGCCACGGGCGGAGCGCGTTCATAGCTTCGCGCCCCCCGGGGTGACAGGGCCGCCCACCCAGAGAGAGGTGGCAAATACAATGGGCGAGCAAGGGGTGCCGAGCCTGCCAGCGCAGGCGCCGAAGAGCACGGAGAAGGAGGAGAACAGAAGCAGAAGGGAGGAGGAGGAGGAGGAGGAGGAGGAGGAGGAGAACAGAGGCAGAAGGGAGTAGGAGGGAAGGGCGCGAATGACCACACCGGTGCAAGAGAGAGGGCGTCGAACCAGCCTTGGGAGGGGCCGGGGGGCGGGCGGCTCCAAGAACACACCGCCCCCGACGCCCCCAAGGCGGGGGCGGGGCGCCGCCCCGAGGAGCGGAGGCCAGCGCCAGTGGACAGCAGAAAACTCGAGCGTGCGGCGCGAAGCTGCGATCGAAGGGGAGGGCGGAGGAGGACAAGGGAAGAATCGGGGAGACGTAAGACCCGGGTACGGGGGACTCGGAAATCCCCGACGAGGTCGTCAAAAAAATGACGAGGCCGAGCCTGCATTTTGACGAGGCCTCCCGCTGCAGACATCCCACAAAACTCCTCCTCGTCAAAATCCGAGTCGCGGTCGTCAAAAAACCATGGCGAACCCGAGTCCTGGCAAACCCGGGTCTTACGCTCCCCCGAAAGAAAGAGGGAAGCCAGACGTGCCCACGGTCGTCTCGCCCCTCGGTCCAGCGCTCCGACCCACGGCTCGCCCAAGTTCGTGCTCTATGCCCAGCCTCGCACCGGTGGGGCCCGCCGAGATGCTCACGAATGGAGGCGGCGTCACAGATCAACGTGCTGATGGACGTGTCCTGAGAGCAGGTCCTGAAGGCAGCCTACTGGAGAAACAAAATCAACCCCCGCCTGAACGACGCCCCGCCAATGTGCTTCGCCCTCAGCTTTGTCAATCTGTCGGCCCCAGGGGACAGACGCCCGGCAACCTGGGAGGGGTAACTGCAATAGTCTGAAACCAAAGCCGCTGTTGCTTCCTGAATTTCCAACCCTTTGGAGGCATGACACTGCCGGTGTAATTCCAGCATCCGGAAAGGGGCCAAATTCTAATGTTGGCGAAGTGTGTAGGGCTTGATGGTGAATTCCTCTTCGTCCTCAAGGCCTGTCCATCCGTAAAGGTTCCACACAGCAGCAAAATATGGTACTGGAAGTCTCCGTAGATCCCTTAATCTCAGAGGGCTCCCTGGAGGCCTCCAGAAGCCCGGACAGATCAGATCTGACAGCGCCAAAAATCCTCGATCCGCGATCCTAGCATATGCGCGCAAAGCCTCGATCCTCAATAATTCGATCCCCGATCCTCGATCCCCGATCCCCGACCCTCGACCCCCTCAATCCTCGATCCTGGGGCCTCGACCCTAGCTCCCATCCTCCTTCATCGATCCTCGATCCTGCCTCCTCGATCCTCAGCTCGATCTCCCGTCCTTCTTTCTCGATCCTCGACCCTCGATCCTGGCTGGGCCTTCCTTGCGCAGGTGCGCGCCAGGAGGACGAGGAGGAGCAGGAGGAGGAGGAGGAGGAGGAGGAGGAGGAGGAGGAGGAGGAGGAGGAGGAGGAGGAGGAGGAGGAGGAGGAGCCGGCCGACGGCCGCCTGCGCACAGCCGAGGGCCCCCAGCGAGAGCAGCAGCGGCCGCGAGCGCTGGGCCAGCAGCGCCGCGAAGGCGTCCCAGTGGACGCCCACGCCCTGAGGCTCGCGTCGCTCGGGCGCCCGAGGCGCCCAAGACGCGTCCAGAGCTCCAGGGAGGGCGAGCGAGAGGGGTGGGGGGGAAGAGCGATGAGGAGGAGGAGGGGGAGGAGGAGGAGGAGGGCAGGCTTCCGAGCCGTCCGAGCAGGCCTGCCACTGCTCGCGCCTCTCCCCCGGGGGGGCTGGGGCCGCCGAGAGCTCGCGCGCGCGCGAGGCCCGAGGCGCCCCCCCCGGATCTCCGGCGACAGGATGATGCCGCGGGACGCACGTGGGCACCCCCGCACTGTGCGTCCTCCTCGGAGGCGCACGTCCGGCCCGAGCACTGCGGGCCCCAAGAATATACACCGCCACCATCACCACCACGTCGATTCCTCTTCCCTCCTCGATCCTCCTACTCCCTGCCTTCTTTCCTGGGAGAGCGAGGGGGGGGAGGTGGTGGTGGTGGTGGTGTAGATGTGTTTGAGCCCCGCGAGCAATGGTGCAAGCATCCTGTAGCGCAGCATCTCCCGAGCGGTAGGCCCAGGAAGCGCCCGCCCACGAAATGTACTGCAAGTGTTCTCGGCGCGCGCGCACGCCCCCCCTTCTGGGGGGGGGCCGACGCACACATGGTATTCGTATGCTAGGGTGCCGCCGACGTTGCTCAAGCCAACAGCTGTGGCTGTTCCCCGATGTCGGCCTCTGGGGCCCATCAAACATAGATCCTGGACGAGGAAACTACCCTCGGGCAAGGGTCGGGGCCTCCGGGGCTGCGCATTGAAGAAATCACATGGCCGCGTCCATGTTGCAGCGTTGCCAACTTGCGGCGGTCACACACCCGTGCTGGCGGGCATGTCGTGCGGTTCCGTTCGGGAGCCCTCGGGAGCCCAACGGAGCTGGTGTGACCCCATGTTGACCCCGTGACTCAATAGGGCTGTGTGACCCCGTGTTGGCCATGACCGCCGCTCTGATACAGAGCCCTTGTGGCGCGAACAACACGGACGGCACCACAGTGTCGGATGTCTGGGCTTCAAACGCCGCCGCTGTCGCCGTCGACGGTGGCGCCCGTCCCCCTCCCCCTCGAACATTCATTCACGCGCGGCAGTGGCCCGCAGGGGCATTGGAACGAGGAACCAGCCCCCTTACTGGTGAGAAGAATCCCCAGGGAATAATAAAGTTAGGGGTCCAGGTGGGGTACTACAATTTTCCCTGAACTATAGATGTCAGTACGTGTGGACATCGAACATCTGATAGTAGCAAATTCGGCAAACCTTCAAAACTGTGCCTTTCGCCTGAGAGATGCTCAACAAACGGCAATCAGGAATTCATGATGCTATGCATGAGATGGTGATCAGGGCTACGGTAGAACTCCCCGCCTGCCAACTGAACCACATTCAACCCCGTGGATCAAGGAATACGAAGGTTAAGGGGAAATGCGTTATTATCCGGGGGCTGGGGATATACCGTCCCCACATCGGAACTGTGGGCTCGAATGGCTGATGCACATATGGGAGGAAGCGCAGCACGAAGCGCAAGTAGGAAGAGTGTAACTACGAAGACCAAATGATGGGGCGGCCGTGGGAGAGATACGGGCAGAGGCTGGGCTTGCACGCAAGAGTGGATGGTCCGCGGATGCCCCCAGAGTGGACACGGCATAGATACGGAGCAGGCGTAAGGCATTCGTGTACCCTCCTCCTCCTCCTCCTCCTCCTCCTCCTCCTCCTCCTCTTCCTCCTCCTCCTCATCCACCCAATCCTCGTCCACCTCCTCCTCCTCCTCCTCCTCCTCCTACTCCTCCTCATCCTCATCTTCCTCCTCCTCCTCCTCATCCTCCTCTTCCTCCTCATCCTCCCCATTAGCATCCTTCAACACCTGGACACACTCCAAGGTACGTCCTGTTCACTGTTGCCCGGGATCGACCTACGACGTCTGATGGGGCCCCGAAACGGGTCCATTAAGCCGCAACCAATGTGGAAAAAAACATCAATCGAATGGCTCAATTGCGGTTGGCCTTACCTCACAGATCTTCGGCGACGGCGACAACATGACCCTCAGTCAAAAATACCAAACATGTAGTATCATCGCGTGA